ACATACAAAAATAATCAACAGCATATTTGAACTGTTTTATGAATAAATAAATATTAAAAAAGGATTCCGGTTTGTATTTGATCCACCCTTGTAATCTTATACGCCGACATATGGCAGATACAAAGTGATATCTGATATATAGTCAAAATCACGAAAGATGACTATTACGTCATACCATAAATAAATATCTTGTAATGATATTCATTTATAAAGTAAAAAATAATTATAAAGTAAAAAATAATATAATTATAAAGTAAAAAATAATATATTTCCATCAAGTCTAACTAATTTAACATCATCAAATGTCGAGCATCATTTACATAATACCAGAAATAAAGATGACTTCCATTTAATGACCAAAAAGTATAACATATGCTACAAATCTGTATTCCATCAAGGGTTGATTGAATATAATAAATTATGCTCGGAGATAAAAGACCAGAAAACTTTGACAAAATTTAAAGTAAAATTGAGAAATCACTTGTTAAATCTACAATTATAGGTTGCCCAGCATTTACATCATACACCATATGGCTTGAATTTACTAGTTCTAAGTTGTTTACAATTGTTCTGTTTATGTAGCCAAATGTGCTAAATAAATCTTTCTACTACTACTACTATAAATTGTACTGAAGTAATCAATGGACGTACGTCGATGATAAAATCTCATCTGGACTCGAGTGCTAGACGTATTGTGAATTTGTCCTTGAAATGACCTCATAGTGACTAATTGACCTCTGATTCGGATTTAGTAATCAGAAAAACTTAAACGACACGCGGGCCTAATTGTTTGGTTCCTTTGAAAATGTCCTTAATTCGACCTTGAAATGGCCTTCTAACGATCTCGTGGAGACAAAGTTCAGATTTGAAATCAGTGACCCAAAAAACCAGTTTGGCTGAAAATTGTATGAATGTTTTAGAAATCGTGTAGTTGCCAGCTTTTCGGTGTTCTAGACCACTGGCATTATCTGTTTCATCAAATGGGTAAACATCCAGGTTATGTTCAAACTGGCATCAGAGGATTTGTTGTTGTACAACCAATAGAGATTTGTTCGCGAGATCCCGTAGTGAACCGGAACGGGAACAGATGGAATTTCCCCTTCCCCTCGAAGTTTTGACAGTTTCCAGTTAGATGGCGCATGTTGCGCAAAATGTTTGCTTTAAGCTCCTTGATAAACTTAGCTGCATTCTTTGGATCCAAAATAAAAAGACCGATCGTTTTTTATGCAATGTACATATACAGGGTGTTCCTTAATGATATGCGAATATTTAAGGGTGTGAATCTACATGGAAAATTAATGTTAGTTTGCTCTATAAACTATGGTCCAAAAATGTTTCCTTACAAAAACTCGGGGTGTTGAAGTTTTAGGAAGAAAGTGGAAATTAATTAATATTTTCAGAACCGCTTTAGATATTTCACTGATATTTAGTACGTAGTGAAAGTTGATAAAGTCGCATATTTTTCAATGCAAAACAGTGGCGCTGCGTACGGGTATTGACTTCAATATTTTTTTACAAAAAAATGGTACGCCAATGATTTTTTGCCAACTAAAAATTATTTTTGAATTACCCGTTCAATTTAAAACAAATGATCTCTCTTGAGTTGCTTTCCTTCGATTCGCCATTTTTGAGTAAAAAAAATAAAGACCGTTCTATTGTCTGACTTGCAAAATTATTATTAATTTAATTGGAAAAATTAAACACATTAGTGGTAATGAACAACAACAACTGACAACATAACATTAAAACCAACGAAATGATTACAAAAATTGTTGAAAATGGCCCCCTTCACGTACTTTGCATGCTTCCTCCCTCCTTCTCATCGCGTTGAAATATCCCTGGAGTGTTTTTTATTCGGTCACAAGCTGTAACTATTCTTTCTCCTAATTCCTCTACAGCGTTAATGGGGCTTGTTTACACTAGTGTCTTAAGATAGCCCCACAAAAAGAAATCTAAACTGTTGAGGTCTGGGGACCTTGGTAGCCATTCTTGGGGCCCACCGCGGCCAATCCAACGATTTGGATAAAAAGTTTGTAAATAATTACGAACCGCTACACTGAAATGCGCTGGTGCACCATCATGCACGTATCACATTGTTTCTTATTACTAACGGAACATCATCAGGCAGCAAAGGCAACTGTTGGTGAAGAAAATTGAGGTCAGTCTGTCCGTCAAGTCGTCCCGGCAGGAAGAATGGGCCAATAAAGTGGTTGCCAATAATTCCTGCCCATACGTTAACCGAAAATTAACCTGGAAATGGGTTTCGGTTACGGCATAGGGATTTTCTTCTGCCCACTAATGATTATTGTAGAAATTCTGACTGGCATTTCGAGAAAAATTAGCTTCGTCCGCGAAGAAACATTAATTCAAATTGCGGATTTTGTGTAATTTTTTTAAGATACCACTGACAAAAGGTCACACGCCTTGGAAGATCAATGGGAAGTAATGTCTGTACTCTTAAAAAATGGTAAGGATATAACAAAAAATCCACTAAAATTTTCCAAACAATTTGACGGCAAATAATTAAGTGTCTAGCGATCTTCCTCGTACTCGTTTCAGAATGTTCTCCGGCTTCGTGCAGCACTGCTTCCTCAATTTCAGGTGTACTCACACTTAGAGGTCTACCTTCAGATGTCCCTTTTCGGGCAGAACCAGTTTCAACAAGACGACGATGAATATTAGAAAATGTTCGACTATCTGGCAAACCACGATCGGGATATCTCTGATGATAAATCCGTCTGGCTTGCTCACCATTACCGTCGGCAGGGCCATATACGTAATGCATTAGCGCCATTTCTGCATTTGAATAATTCACCATTATTAACAAGATTGTAAAAACTAAATAATGAAAAAGATGTCACAGCGAACAGATTTGAATAACAGATACTTGTCAGATGTCAAAAGCCAGTGACATATTCCAGAGCAACTAGATATTCATTGCTAAATTGCATTCTTCAATTATTACATCAATTTTCTCGGATAATAGAACGGTTTTTATTTTTTTACTCAAAAATGGCGCATCGAAGGAAAGCAACTCAAGAGAGATCATTTGTTTTAAATTGAACGGGTAATTCAAAAATAATTTCTATTTGGCAAAAAACCATTGGCGTACCACTCTTTTGTAAAAAAATATCGAAGTCAATACCCGTACGCACGCCAATGTTAAATATAAAAATTATTTTTGCATTGAAAAATATGCAACTTTATTAACTTTCGCTACGTACTAATTATCAGTGAAATATCTGGAGCGGTTCTGAAAATATTAATTAATTTCCATTTTTTTCCTAAAACACCCCTAGTTTTTGCAAGGAAACATTTTTGGACCATAGTTTATAAAGAAAACTAACAGTAATTTTTCATGTAGATTCACACCCTTAAATATTCGCATATCATTAAGAAACACCCTGTATATGAATAAAATCAACCATTTGATATGACGGTTCCTATATCTTCGATGACCTTCTCCCTCGTCATGTAAAATCAGGTGGATGTGTTCTTCCAGTTATGATTTAATAATTTAACTCAATTTTCGGTATTGCGAAGACAAATTTTCAATTGAGATGTCTGTTTTTTAAATGACCTCGACATAAGACCTGTCACCCACTAGTACCTCGCCGACATCATATCCGTCTTCCCCCATTCCCGTTCTTCGCGAAAATTTGAGTATCGGTTCCCGGTCGTGAACTGTGCTACACCGTGGACTCGCGAAAAAATCCTTAATGTACCCAGCATCGACTGACATTTTTTTTTTCGTTTTTATGCTGAATTTCCTAAAATGCCGCATAAATATGGTTATAACTTTTTGTTTGATAATAATACAAAATAATCTTGATTGGGTTCTGTCATGCATGCTTAATTAGAGCAAATAAATATTTCGTACAAACAGCCTTAAAAAAGTCATAAAGTGATGCGGAATGAAAAATTTGAAATGTAAAATTTGATTGCAAAAAACCTTACCTTTTTTGAAACTTGAATTCATTTATTAAAGTTTTATGGTTTACTGCCTTTCCAACGATATACAGGTACTACGAGTATACATCAAAATAAGAGAAAACTGTTGAGGTTACGTCACAAAATTTTTAAGTTTTCCACATTTTTATTTAATTTGAATCAATTACAATCTATTTTTAAAATGACTGCCTCCACGAAGTAATTGCAAAGCAATAAACAGGAAAGCTTAGGAATACCTCTTTTGCAAATCGATTTGAACTTAATAATATCGGATACAATTCGTGTCGTATCATAATACGTACTAGCGTATTAATGTTTAAGGTTTACAACATTTGTAACTTTTGGTCGGAAAAGTAAACAATTTTACCTAAAAGTGATTTGACTATTTGTTACAAGTAAGTGTTATCATACTAAGATTAATTTATCAGACATTCAGGATTACAAATCGTCATGTAAAACAGATTATCTACGTCTAGTCAGTTTTGTTCTTCTACGTCTTGACATTCATGTTGTAGAGAATATAGGCAAAGTAGACAATTTGGACAATAAACGTAATCCACGTGTTAACTTCAAATCAACTTACATAACAGGTATCTACCTGTTTATTGCTTTGCAATTACTAGATTACTACCTTCATTATTATTCTCATCAAGTAGACGCACCCACTTCAAAAATAGTTCGTAACTAACTCAAATTAAATAAAAACATAAAAGACTTAAAAAAATCATTGGCCTAACTGTATTCTCTTATTTTGACCGCATATGAAACGTAATGAATAACCACAGAACTTTTATAAATAAGGTATAAGTTCCAAAAAAAGTATGTGTTTTTGCGTATTAGAATTTTGAAATTCAACTTCAGTGGTCTTGTAAACTGTATACCAGACTTATGGTAACAGATGGAACTTTGTGCTGTCTTATTTCGTTCATTTTTTTATTCAATCCGCACAATATTACGGTTTTGGAAGGGAACGCCATTTTTTGAGGCCGTTTATATACTCTACTTACCACATCTAGTAGACGGGCTTGTCTTTCGAAACAATAATAAGGCACACTTTTGGGTATTTTTTATTTCATTTTGCACATGGTACAAATATATAATGTATTTTAGGATATTTTGTGTCTCATACGACTGCAAAATATAAGCTCGAATCGTTTAAAATACTTCAATAAAATATCGGTAAGCGGCTTATTGAAAATCGTTACATTCAAACATATTTTTTTCTAGTTTTTGTTTTAAGGTACATGTTCTTGAGATAAGACTAGACATAAATGATGTATATACAGTAATATAATTACAAACATCTCGAAACATAATTAAACGATAAAAGTAATCGCAAGGTTAGGTTTGTGGCTTCTTAAAATCAGTTCAGCATTATTATCACAAACGTAGCATCTTATTAATATACTTATAAACAAACGAATAACTCGATCTCGTAGAATTTAGAAATATCCTTCGATAGTTTCTAAATGCTACTATAGACTAGGACCGGTTTTTTTAAAGCACAATGAAAACTATTAAATGTTACGTTTTACACCCGTTAGAGTTTGTATATAATATACGAATAGGCAAATATTTGCCTTATAATACCTCTAACTAGTAGCAACAATTTTTCGGTTTATACTGCTTCCAAATACGTATTTCGATGGTATGCTCCATTCAATGTAGTCGTCCTAGTCTCAAGAAGGAACTCTTACGTAGACCCTATTGCTTAAAAGAATTACTCCGGTCTATAGAATTGTGTACCAGGAGGTATTTTATAGCCTGGATATGTGCAGTTAAGGGCATGTTGCTGGAAAAATTCGGTGTAATCCTTTTGCTGTTTAAGAGGTCTGACTGCAGGCCCCGTGGCCAATTCCAACCTCAACCTGTTCTCTTCTTCCATTTGGCTTTTGACATTTTCTGGAGGCCATTTGAGGTCGCCTCGCAGGTGCTTTCCACCTTCAAGAGAAAGGAAACTATTACAATTTTGTGCGTTTTGTGCTTCCTCTATCATTTTTTTCTTTACTTCCTCCGGAGGCCATTTTATGTCACCTCGTAAATTTCGAGGACTGACTAATTTTTCTATAAGAGAAAGAAAAAAACGGAATGTACTACTTTATACTCGTTAAAACAAAATGAAGTATCATGATGTCTAGATGTTGATTCACGTGCATGTACTCCATTTACAGTGTTTCGTTTAAAAAATGGAAGAAATCTGAAATATCTTTAGCATCTTTATCCGTGATGCAGTTAGTATCTCATTATTTATTAGAATTGTTCCCTACTTCCTGGGGAGTAATTTGACAAACAAAAGGGCAAATTGACGATTGTTATCACTACTTTACTAAAAAAATATAGCCAAATCATTGGGGGGACTTGAAGGGGACAAATAATTATTGGGTGCAAATATGTGAAAAGGGTTATTCTACTAGAATATGGGTCGTTGCTTTTTTTAATTACGTTATTTTATCACTACAGGAATGGACGTTGGTTCCTTTTTTGCCCCTAAAATATCTACAGATGAAATTTTCAAATACCTTAATCGGGTTTAAGTTATTACAATAAAACCACTAAAAGTCACATTTGCATTGAATACTATTCGCACGACATTGATTCCGAACTCCTGTGTATGTAGTGGTACTATTCGTCATTTGTTTGTCTGTGCGGTCCGTAGAACATTTGAAGATTAGTCACTGTCTAATGTACGTTAGTCGAATCTGTCAGTGCTGGTTGCCCAGAAATCAGACAAAGTGAAGGAGAAAGAGAAATAAAAATGAGACGGGCAAAGAAAAACAGAAGTGTATCTGTTTAAGAGGAAAAACCTAGGCTTTTTGGCTTGGTGCATGGATTAATTTTTATGAGAACTAAAAACAAATTTTGATTCAGGTTTTGTTAGAGTGTGATTTTGGGATTACTAAAACTTGCGGTAATTTTTTATCACTGTGAGCCGTGGCCCTGAATGTTTACGAACTTGCTCCTGGGTAGTCCAGTGAGTCACGGAACAGAGGGTTGCTGTGCGATTCGGCTTGACTATAACATCGCTGCGCCTGAAGCTTGATCTAATAATATGTAGGCTGATAAATTATAAACGAACATTACATTCCAAATAACTCAGGTTTTTGTTTTTATTGCAGTCTTTTAGAAAGATCGTTTTTAATTTGAATCCATTCTACAGCTCATGAAGGTTCTACAGCTCTCGGCTGGTGATTATTTTGTAATAATGATAATAAAACACAATTATCTTACTGCATAATATAGTTGGAAGCAGCTGACTTGAGACTGCTTTTTTATTAGCCTAATGGTAGCATAACAGCTGTATCTCTCTGCAGTCACTAAAGCTGCCTGACTTCCGTAGAGCTTCCGTCAAAGTATCAACTATGTACTTATTTCAGGAATCTTTGTTAACAATTGAGAATGTATCAACAAAAATAATATGCTTGTATCGTTGTCTTGCTGCTCAAAGTTGCTGTTTTTGAATGTGTCCATTTCCATTCTTGTTGGGAATCAAAACGTTCCAGATGGAACTGCGAACAACAGCAGAGTAACTAGCCGCTGTCTGCACTATGGAAGCACATAAGTAGATAGTGTGCAAGTGCCAGCTACTAGCTGAACTGGACACTGGGAAATACCGTGAGATGTAGGAGGGAAATGTAATGAACCTTAAATCGCCTTAGAAACCGGCACCGGCACGGTTATTATGTAAAAAACTTATAAAACGTCAAAAACCCAATAAAATGACAGCTTGCAGACTATATAGTTTTTAGGGTGCCAACAGTCATTCCACCTTTGCTCACTAGGATCGTTGTGAGCGTCCATGTATGGAGGAATAACTACACGGATTGTTGGTTGTAAGTATATGTTTTGTGAAGCCGAGTAGTCTGTAGTTTTCATCTCTGAGAACAAAGTTGGTTGAATAGCAAGATCGCATATGGATGATTATGTGTATTGGTCTATATATGTGTATAAAACCAGTGATATTTGCTGTGTGAGAACATCATTACTGAATATGCTGCCAATGAAATATATGTATTAGCTGTGCCCGACGGGTTATTTATATCTTGTCCTTTCTGATTACGATTTTTTACGTATTTTGTGTTTTCAAAAACTTTGAGGAGAATAATTACGGGCAATCACCACCGCGTCCGCGTTTTGTGTAATTACTGTTAGAATGTCTTGTTATTCGACAGTGTACAGTGAATATAATTATTTATCTCTCTCATTTTTGAAATTCAGCAAATTCGCATATGTAATTTACAGAATGGATAAGAAAAAGCGGATGCGCAACTAATTTCTAGCTTTGAATCTCAAGTAAGTGTATTTGAGACAAGAATCCAATTAAATTGAATTATCATCAACACATATTATTAGCACACAAATTCTCACTATGCACCTATACATTGACGTTTTCTTCTAGCTATAGTATAAAACTTACAGCTTAGACCTCCAGTAATGCCATCTCTGAAGTAGATTTTACATCACATCAGAGTCAAACATTGTTACCTGAAGCATCATGACATTTAGGCAACACGTTCAACTACAAAACGAGTTCATAACGTGTCCATCAGCTAGTGCTAAATTTACGTCTTGTAGAAAAACCTACTTAAGGTCACAAAAGCCGATACAATGTCAGATAAAATCGACATAATGTCACTTTTCATGATCTGTAATACCCGTGCTGTACTCGCTAAGGCACAACGACCGTCGTTCCAGCAATATTATAGAACATCTAGCTTAAGTTATAGGAGCTATGAATGGCCTCCGCTAGAGACATTTCTGAAGCAATGTTACAACACATGAGAGCCACAGCACATGACGTTTAGGCAAGACAGCCAGTATAAGTCAATAAGAAGTGTATGGCAGCTAGTTCCAAAGTGACCATTTTGGCAGCTAGGTGACTATCCCTTTCATTTTGTAGTTACGTCATAAGGGTGTGGGTTACTATGACCCGCTTATCTCCGTCGATGCTGATGACGGTACATTAAGGGCTGTAATTTGCTAAAACGCGTAAAAGAAAACATTGCTGTTATCCCTCCAATCAATAAACGATACGTTGATTACTGTTGATTAGATTCTGTATGTGAACTGAGAATATGTACATAAGGTAGAACCGTTATCAACATCTAGACATTAAGTATTTCCATTCAGATTACGACAAGGAAGTTGTTAACAGAGAATATTGTACTCTCCCGAGATAAAAAAAAACAAAAGAGGAAAGTTCACAAAAAGTCGCAAAATATTTATGAAGGTAATTAAACATGCATGTTAGTGGTTAACATCTCTTACATACATACTTTATGTCCATCAAACTCTGAGGCCTGCATTAACTTCCTTGCGATAGCCTGATTGTGCAGTAAACTTTGCACTTGCCCTTATTTTCAATAGATATAGCCAATCTTATCAGATCTGTCGAGTATAGTGATCTTAGGTAAAATAGAACGTATGGGTAAATTGTTTTCAGAAAAGCTGCTCACAGTGTGCCATATTCTGACCTAAGGCACTTCTCCCATTTGTTGCTCGGTGCGACGCAGTAAGAAGTGAGTAACAGAATAGGCCCTGTACAATTGCCACTGGAGCACTATACCCCATTCGTAGTCCATTTACGCCCAGGCAGAACACAACATGCCCAAAAGCGAGATTGTATAGGTGCGTATTTTCCTTAATGGTCTTGGAATCTAAATAATAAATGATTATTTTTATAGGAAGAAGTGCAGATACTTTTCACAATTCTTTATTCGCTGGAAGTACTTTAATCATCGTCCGAATGGTTAATATTAATAATTATTACAGGTTCAATTTGAATATCGATCATATTGTTCAGATCGCACATCCCTGTTTCTATTGTCTCTTGAACGTGACGGATGCAATATTTCCAATAGTTTGCCACCACTCTGTTGACCGCTTCATAAAACAAAATTTTTACGTCAGAAAATTTGAATGTTCTATTGTTTGAAGCCACACAATTTTTTTATATTTTATTTCAATGGGATTTAATTCTCAGTGATAAGGGGTAGCCTTAAAACGGTCTTATTTTGGTCTTTAGCCATTTCGTCAATAACATTAAGATTATATTTATATTTGTGCTGCCTGACTAGATGGATAAGTTCTGCTTTGACCATATTTGCATTGAAACTAATGTCTTTTGATAGGAGCCATTGTTGAATTTCTGCCTTACTTGTGGACATTGTGTGAATTTTTTTCTAGTTTTCTAGTGTGGTATGTTTTCAGCGTGGACTCATAGATTCAGTCTACTTGACACCATTTTTACATCACTCACAAAGTGATTAGTCCATCTAAGAAGGCTTGTCTTGCTGATTTAATTGTAGAGTCAGCCCATACATTAGGTTTTGTACTGCATTTATATCAAAGTAATCCTGCCGCGGTATTTCTTTATTCACTTTAAATAATTTCTTCTCCATGAAATAACCTCTTGGCTGTCCATCAAAATACTATTTCTGTCCCATTTTCTATACTCAAAATAAAGTTCTTTGAGTGAACTATAGAATGTGGTCCTTTTGAAAGTAGGTGAGTCTTCATCGCTATTAACCTCCTGTAATACTTTGTCTATGGTGGAAAGTTCCTGCCTTTCCAAAAATTGATGGTCCTTGCGTCTGATGGCATTCCGATCAACGTTACCAACTGTACAGCTTCGTGTAATATAGCCTCTTGTGTGGTGGAGATTTTTTTTATGTAATATATGCTTTAACAATGTTGAAAATCGTCTTAGGACATAAGGCATAAGGGGTTTTGTTCGCCACACGTCTTTCATTATTTGAATTTTCATTTCAGGATGTTCTAAAATTTCGCTCTTATAAACGTTAAGGACAATTTCTTTTGCCTGAATATTCAAATGTCCCTTTTTGTCACTTTTCGGGAAACAGACACTGAAGAGGAAGCATGGCTGAAGGAAGTATTGAGAGAAATATTCTGTTTCATTTGGTGTATCCGTAGACGACATGCTAACGTATAAACACACGCTATGTATGCATCGAATATGAACAGCAACTGCTGGCGTGGGTGTGCCGGCGATACCCTGAGCCTGAGTTCTATCCTGTAGAATCCTGCACTTGTTCGTAGTCTTATGACCGAATGACCAGTAGTAGCTTTTGCAACGTTTAGGCGGCTGCCGCTTTGCCGCGCTGCATCTTTGTTGTGCCGGGGCGTAAATGGACTACGAATAGGGTATAGTATCAACTAAAATACAACTGATAACTTTACAAAATTAAGTAAGGTTTGTGAAACCCCAAAACAATAGTGCAAATCTAACGAAGTTTGTCACATCACGCTACTGTGACTGCCGATATGCGGTCAGCATATCGGCATTTGTCAAATGACTATAGCCACGTTTACACCGTGGCCAGCTAGCTAAAATCGTACAGCTCTATGTGAAGAGATGACGCAACGTAGGACCACGTATACAGGGTGACTTTGAAGTTGAGTCATTAATTTTCAGATAATGGTTGTATAGTGGATACCAAATCAAATCCGATGCACGTCACAGGTGATGTCATTCATAAAAATCATGGTTAGACTACATTCAATGTGACATTTCTACTTGAAGTTTAAATTTCCCGTCTCGATTCGGTTGGTAGTGCCGTGCAGAGAAATGTGAGGTTGCCACTTCTCATTTGTTGACATCAGTTGCCATTCTCCTTTTGTCGTACTATTAGTTCTTTATTGTTTAGTTTGTGAGTTTTGCGCTATTTGAGCTTTGAATCGTTGCCTTGCCAATTAAAAATTGTTCTTTTCAGAACAACAGTTACTGTGAAGTAGTGTAAAGTATCCAAAATGCCAAAACAACTTAACAGTCGGTGTAAAGAGCTCATATCATTGAATATCTACCAAAATCAGGTGCTTTTATTCAGAAAGGAATTTAATTTTACAACAAGTTTATTTATTTTTAATATAATGGTATTATAGTAAATGGTAGGTATATATAAACAATTTATTTGCTTAAAAGAAAATGTGCAAATTCTGGCAACAGCACACAGCTCCAGGTCGATGACGTGCATCGGGTTTTATTTGGTATCCACTATAGAAGGAAGATAAACCAAAATATGTGTGTAAAAATAAAAAAAAATGTTACCTTGTTTTATAAAGTATCCTCCCGACAAGTATTTCAGTGCGGCCCTGTATTTGATCGTGCGGTCTTGGAGCACCGGCATACCCTCCCCTGTGAGGTCTTAAGTCACCTGATTCACGAGCCCTTTGTTCTACATTAACAAAGGCACGAGGGGTTGGTTGCACTCGATTGGGAAACCGATTTTGTAAAGACTTCCCCCCCCGTAAATAACAATCATGTCCACAAGTTCAGCATTTTCGTAAACATGTGCCATTTTTTATTTCGTTTGAGTCACGCAACAAACACCACTATTCACTCACGCGTTACCGACTGACACATTGACTGAATACAACTAAAAACATCGTGATAAGCGTTTCAAATTCTTTCGCTTTTTTGTTTCCGATGCGATGAACCGATAAGGCGGATTATATCCGTTGTCGCCAAACACGAGCACATAATCTTATTATTGAGACAGGGCGGTACTCAAACTTCTAAAGGGCTATAACTTTGTTACTTTAATTTTACCAGAAAAATGTTAAAGGAAAAAAACATTTCTTTTGATCAGATCTACTCACTGTTAAAATAAATGACTCAACTTCACCCTGTATTGTGCGATCACTAGCAGCGATAGTGATCACGGGGAAAACCTGGTCCCTAGCGCTGCGATACAGTATGTCGTGCGGTATAAATGGCGTGGTGTTGTGCCGTTTTTTTGCACAGAGATGTGTTAACTCACCGAACAGGACGATTATGTGGTTAGCTAACCACAGTGTAAATATTAACTGTTGTGCTTGCGTCTGCATAAGAGAGCAATACCAGCGGCAACAGATTTCTTACTGCCTTGCTACCGACAAGAGGAAAAGGACCATTTAAAATAATTGAACATGAGCGCAAATTGCCTTATTTAGGATTGAAATCTAATTGTTTTGAAAGTACTTGAAATTCAGGACGTAAAATTCGTCGAGTTACTGAAGTAAATAATATTGGGAAGACAACACTAATTGCGAAGCCTGAGATTCGAGAAAATAAACTTTCCTGCATCTTGTTGAATTGTTTTTTTCTGCTATTTGATAAGACAGGTTATTGCTTTGTATTACACTTTGCAATATATCAGGTCTCGGCAACACAAACACTACAAGTTCACTTCTAATCACTTCGTATCACAACACAACATGTAACTATCTGTGTGGCGTCAGTAGTTACAGGAGACATTTTACGCTTGTCAAAGTGTGGTACAGAATTTTCCACTATTGAAGTTGTTTTACTAACTTATTCATATCTCTGGGTAGGGATTGATATATACTTTTTTAATTTATCGGAAAGAGCATCAAAAAGGATATGATCCATTATTTTATACAAAAACTGCATTTTACGTTCAAAAGCAGTCTGTTTTGGCGTCTTTTAACTAAGAGCCACGATATATACCTTCGATACCGTGAAATGTTTAGGTCCTAAATAACAAAATCTATTCAAAATATGCTTTGACATATTACATATTTTTGTTGGTGGTGATTCAATACCTATACGCAGGCTATATAGCTATGTTACATTATAGTTTAACCTCCAACATCACGCGATCATACGTGTTCGGGCATGTGAATAAAAATGGTATCGGAGTGAGGCTGGTAATGCGGGGAATACAGGATAGCAATATCGGGCGGGCATATCCTCTTGCATTGTTTCTCTGTTAATTATTGAAAAGTTGTAATATGTACAGGGTGTTTCAGAATTAAGGGATCAAACTTCTAGGGGTTATTCAGTGTAACAGTAGAAAACATTTGAGTATAGGGACCCATATCCGGAAAAGTGTCACTACGGCCCTAAGACTCGTTAAAATTTAGAAAGGCGATGAATTGCCTAAATACACCGACTTAAACGTCGCACATGATTTCGGCGGACTTGACTAAAAATTTGATACTCGTTTTGAATGATTTCAAATGATGCTGTAATTCGTCCAATTAAGTCTTCCTCTGATTCTACTGGAGTTTCGTAAACCAAAGACTTTACATGTCCCCAAAGGAAAAAATCTAGCGACGTTAAATCGCGTGGCCTAGGAGGCCAAGAAACTGCTCCACCTCTGGCAATCCAACGGTGCCCAAATCGCTGAGCCAAATACTCACGTACTTGTACAGCAAAGTGAGCCAGCGCTCCATCATGCTGAAACCACATTTGCTGTTGAACGTTCAATGGAACATTTTCAAGAAGTTCTGGAAGAACTTCCTCCAAGAAACGCCGGTAAACAGGTCCTGTTAACCGTTCCGCTAGAAGGTATGGCCCAATCAAATAATCATCAACAATGCCTGCCCATACGTTGACAGACCAACGTTGCTGATGTTTTCTAGGAAAAATTGCATGGGGATTTTCTTTGTCCCAAACGTGGCTATTCCTACTATTAAAAATACCGTCTCCTGTGAAAGAGGCTTCATGGGTCCATAAAAAACATAGCGTAAAAATTTTTGTTGTGCAGCGATTTGATGAAGAAGCCATTGACAAAATTGAACTCTAGGATGATAATCGGCTGCAGTCAATCCTTGAACTTTCTGGAAGTGGTAAGGATAAAGTTGTTGCTCGTGTAGCACCCGCCATACCGAAGCGTTACTCGTATTCATATCATCAGCAATGTGACGTGTGCTACTTGATGGTTCGTCGGCAACTCGCTGAAGGACCTCTTCTTCAAATTCGACCGTTCTTACGGTTCGAGCAATACCAGTATCATGCATGTTGGTTTTAAACATGCCTGTCTCGGAGAGCCGCCGATGAATAGCAATAAACTTTATGTATCCCGGATGCTATCGTTCGGGATAACGTTCTTGATACAACCGCGCTGCTGCTCGTGCATTGCAGCTTGTTGCTCCGTATGCCAAATGCATATTCGCCAATTCTTGATTGGTAAAGTTTTCCATTAGCAACAATTAATTTTTGTTAAATTCTTGCAAACTTCAGAAATACGATAGCACGACTAAGTCGATATGGAATGCAGCTACAAAAAAATCTCTGTTATCGTTTTTAAAGATAACATCACACAAGCGTCGGATATGGGTCCCTATACTCAAATGTGTTCTATAACCCCTACAAGTTTGATCCCTCAGTTCTGAAACACCCTGTATTTAGGAAACCTACGTCATGAGGAATGTTAATAAAAATTATATGGTAATGCTAGCTAGTTGCGGCGGACGAGAACGCAACAAGTCTGTTCCTAACAATTGCCCATCCTTCAGGAATGTTAGCGATTATTTTTTTCGATGAATGACAGACTTACATACGTTTTTTAATATACAAAACTTTGAAAATTATATATCGACTGTAATTATATCGACAACGATAGTCTATGTTTTTATTGGAGTATTTGAGTGTACAGGAGCGAGTAGCAGCTGCGTTAAGGATTTGGTTGCGCCGCAATTTCCCTTAGAGAAGTTTAGCTCTGTACATGGTACAGTTACTCAATTTACTTACTTATTTCGCATGACATTGCGACATAACCGCCAAGACCGTGAAAAGACCTATAAAATACCTCACATTTACAGCATTGTTTCCTATGCTATTATAAGTGTAGTTATTATTTGGGTTGTGTTATGGAATTTAGTAAGACTTGTAAGTACGGAAAATTACTCGTAACTTGTAGTGTTCATATTACAGGCCTCAGATGTTTGACGCGCGTTAGTGCTTGTTACCTTTAAGGGTCGCCGTGGCTGGTTGTGAGGTGACCAACGGGGCCGGAGTTTGACTGATAGGAGCTTGAGGGCGGAGCGTGATAGTAGATGGGGGCGGCGCTACAGGCTTTGCCTGAGCTTTTGGTGCTACCTGAAAACAAATAGACTACATTGAACTGCGATTATATTTAACAGATATTCGATGTTCGATAAAATTCTGTATTTTCGACCATAACCCTTGTTTGTAACAACTTCAGTACCGACATTGTTTTTCAATGTGCTTGATAGGTGTGGTCGTGTCGAAATTAATTCATATACAGGGTTTTCAAACAAGTGTAAACATTTAAGAGGGAAATTCTTGTAACACCTGAAACTTATATTGTGGTTTTCATGCTGATAGGACTTCAGGATTGTCTGGCCGCTAAACCACATATGTTTGAATTACTTTCTTACTAAATGTTCGGCTACTTTGGTGGCCTTCTTCAAATTACAAATTACTACAAGGGAAGACAGTGATGCACGATATTTTTTCTTGAAACTAGTATCTCAGATCCAGACAAGTCTATCTTTAGAAAACCGGCGATTTTTATGCAAAAAATGTAGACTATTAACAAAAGATATAAATTTAGAGTCGATATCTGTTCCGTCTAACATATAGGCTATATAGATGTTACCTTCTCTTTTTTTACACAATTTTTGAGGGATTGTTCGATTAGCTGCAGGTATAAACTGTTGTATACTGATAAATTAAGCCAGTTTGCAGTGATGCTAACGGCTCACTTGTGTTGTCTTTTCGACTCACTTTTCATTCAAAATGCTCACAAATTTTTGCTTTCGCTGTACATATGTAGTTCATGAACTTTTTTGACACTGCTGATATCTTTACGCAATTAAATCCAAATCCAATTTTTCCTCCATGAGTATCAAAAAGGTTGCTAAAAGCTTCCCTGTTGATATTTATGTCAGTGCTCTACTAAGTGAATGGAAGCTCCTTCAGCTAGTGGATCTTCCTGAGTGGGATGAAGGAAGAATCGATCACTACTATTACTCTATTTTCATTAAGAAGTATAGTTTTGATGATTCAAATTATCTCGTGATCTGCACTGTGGTGAAGTTTTGAATGTCCTTAGCACATTGAAGTTGTTGGAAGGATGTTTTCCACATCAAGATAGGTAGTTTCTGAAGTTCTAATATGACAGAAAGGACTTTGAATGCTAAATTAAACATTGAAGGTGTGATGAAATAAACCGGAAAATGTTCCCATAACTGGGGAAGAAGATCTTAGGTCTGCCAGTCTTGCTCACTCGAAATACAAGCAGTATCTCGAAGAAAAGGATAAAACAAAGAGCTTCAAAAAAATCAAACGGCAGTAGATGAAAGAAAAAAAATACAATTGAGATACTGAAACAGTAGTTAAAAATCAGATGTAACATAGAAGAATTGGAAAAGTACCTAAAACAGGCACAAAAGGTTGAAAAAAGTGGAAGAAAGGCGAGTGAAATGCTACTCAGTCAAGCTGCAGAAAGGCTAAAATCAGCAATCGCAACGAATAACATGGAAAATGTTCAAGTTGCTTCCGGTCTCCTAGAGGGTGCTCAGGCCATTAAAAAAGTAAAGCAACATGAACCTCAGCTCAAAGTGACTAACCAGAATAACCTTGTATTTGAAATTATCAGCAACCTGCTCCCTTATTTGTTCTATTGGTAAATTTTCCAAAAAACGGTAAATGTATTTTAACTTTGACATGCAATATCTCTGGAGAAATATTGCCAACATATACAGGGTGAGTTTTAGTGTGAGCTCGGTCGATAGCTCCATTATTTCGTATGATATTTAAATAAGTTAAGTACAAAGATTGTACTTGGAAAATATAACTTCGTGGTGATCCAAACATACATATTTGTAAATGGATAGACCTACATTTTATTGCGGATTTGGGTAGGCCTTTTCAATCGAGGCAATTTTATTTTAAAATTGCTGATATTGGACAATCTATCGACAAAAAAATGACAAATTTTATGCGCTTTTATTTTCTCCCTGCCTACTTATAGTTTTTTGAATACATTATACAGGGTGGTCAATAACGCAAAATTAACTATTTCGCAAAATGTTCATCAAGATACGCGGAAAATGTTGCAACACCAGTCAAATAAAAAATAGCAATTAGTTACAGTAGATCGTTAGAATTAATGTATTTGCATTACAAAGTAAATCTACCCATCTATTTACAATAATGCTGAAAGATGAATTTGGGGTATAGGTTTTATTTTCTAATGTTCTCATGTGCTTCGTGTTTTTGAATAATACTTTTTGGCGGGTCAAATTGCAAATTTAAAATTATCACATTTTCTGCCGCAAAAGAGTTTGGGGTTGATGTAAATTGACGTGTTTCAAGTCTTGAACAGCTGAGGACCACTCTAAGTAACATAGCTTCAGCATGCTGCAGCCACTTCCGTTCAAATTACGTTACAGTATAGTTTTTTACGTTGATGTGTAATTTACAAAAAGGTTAGTTATAAATCAGCGTTTAGAGAAAATATATTTTCCAAGTCAGAAGCATATTGTCGGCTAACTTAACATTTTCAGTAAGCATGTGTTGTATTGTTGTAACCGATTATGCACTGAAAGCAGATACCTTCTTAACTTTTCAAGTTTATCGCATAAGGTTGGGTAGATTTAATTTATAATGGAAATAAATCAATCAATCAAACTAAATACTATTTTTATTTTGAACTGTATTGTAATATTTTCAATTTACCTTGATATCTTATACAAAACACTTAGCGGTAACTCAAAACTAGTCTTATAAACTGTCATAAACCTTACATTATAAAAGCTTGAGAAAACGGTAATCAAAGCATGGAAAAATATACGGAGTGATCATTTAGTAAATTTTGAGAAACCGTCCACCTTGCGATCATAACCACTTTGTATAAACTATTAAAAAAAAACTAAAACAGGAAATGGACAGAGGAGAAAGTATGGGATCATAAAATATTTCTAGTGAAAAATTCAATACTCTAGCTGTAACTCTGAGGAGGCGCGAGTTGATACTAGTTTCGGTAGATTGTCCAATATCTCAATAATTTGAAAATGAACCCCTCTAGTAATCAAAATTGCTTCTTTTGAAAATGCTTATCCAAATCTGCAATTAAATGTAGGTCTTACCATTTTAAAAATGTATGCTTGAGTCACCACATAATTACCAATCACCCAATAGAAATGAAAATTTTTTCCAAGTTCTACAATTTCTGTAATTAGCTTATTTAGATTAGATGCGTAATAACACTCACCCTGTATTGTGTACAACAGTGAATCGAAATATACCTGACCCTTTCAGGATTCTTTCTGTATTTTGCATGTTCTAGTGAGAACTAATAGATAACTATAATTTCCTGCAAAATGGAATTGAAATCGAGCAGAACAGTTATAAGATTTTGTACTTTATCGAAATCATAAGTGGCGTGTTAATTATGAACAGGCGTTAAGTTAAAATAATTAGACAAACTATCAAATAAATGATAAAATATATGGTATGTATGAGTAACTTGGTTTCCACCTTATAAGTATAAGCGACAGAAACCTCATAAGCTTTAATCACGTTTTTCCCAATTTCTGGTTTATATTATCCACTTAAATCGAGCATTAAGATATTGAATTTGTCAGAAAATTAACTCACTATTTTTATGTATAAATTCAATATTTCTCACCATTTTCTTAAATCTCTCTTTACTCACTTTAATTCATGCGTTGACCCACCAACATCCCTCTAGTTTGTCTTACTCTCAATTACAGCAAATTATATATTGAAAAGACAAAAGGATAGCTCATATATTCCATATTAAGGGCATTCCTTTAGCTGATAAATCATATACAGTGCTTTTCTGTAATGTCCCCCACCCCTTTGATTTTTTGAACGGATCAAATCAAAAAATTAAAACTTGAGGTAAAATTGTCAGACGAAAAATTCAAGATGGTCGCTGGGCGTCATCTTTGAAAAAAAATTATATCAAAACGGGGGTCTTGTGGCACACCATTTTGAAGCACCTGACGAGTACTTTATAATCCTAGAATATAAAGCCGATACCTTGACCTACTACAAAATGGTGATACATTTAATACTTACTTGAACACAAACCCACTAACATGCATATCTCTACAAATAATTGTAATTCCCTGTCGTATCCACAGCAACAGCGATAAAAACTTGTTATTTTTTGTTGACAGTGACAAGAATATCAGAACGAAAACAAACATCATTGTACAGTTAAAATATTCTTATTTAGTTTTCGGTTTTAGTGTTAGATACTGTTTGAACTATTTTTAAAATGGTCAATTCTGGTTCATTGGAAGAAAAAATCGAAGCGATTTTTATTTATGGTGCGACGCGTAACTTTCACGAGACCGAAAGGATTTTTAATGATCGTTTCCCGAATCGTCCTATCTGTAGAAAATATTTAAAGGAACTTGTATCTAAATTTAGCGCTACTGGTAGTGTAAACAACAAAAATCACCCAGGTCATCCGACCATCCCGGAAGAAAAGTTCAAATAATTGGTGAGATTATAGCAAATTCCCATTCCGCCATCGTGAATGTATGTGAGGTTTGTCCTTCTACTGTATGGAGACTTTTGAAAAAGAATAAGTTTTACCCATACAAAATTCAAATGGTACATTAGCTAACTGAAGATGACCCTGATCGAAGCACAGAATTCTGCGAGACTATTTCGGAAACCATTGCACGGCATCCTACCTATATCCAAAATATTTGTTTTAGTGATGAATGTACATTTTTTCTCAACGGTAATGTGCATAGACAAAATTGTTATTGGACTGACACCAATCCTCACGTCTTCCGGGAAACTCAAACTCATACGCAATATCCACAAAAAATTAACGTTTGGGCTGAGATATTGGGACTACAAACAACTTTGGGATTATTTAGATAACAATTTCCCCGGTCGTTGGATTGGCCGTCGAGGTCCTGTGTTCAAGGCAACCATTTCCAGCATCTTCTAAACTGAACTGAACTATCAAGTTAAATGTCAATGTATTCAGGTAATTATTAAATGTATCACCATTTTGTAGTAGTTAACGGTATTGACTGTATATTCTAGGGTGATAAAGTACTCATCAGGAGCTTCAAAATGATGTGCCACAAGACCCCCGTTTTCATATAATTTTTTCATCTGTAAATTTTAATCTAAAATATATCAATTTCATTACCTCAAGTTTTAATTTTTTGAATTGATACGTTCAAAAAATCCAAGAGGAGGGGGACATTAAAGAAAAGCACTATATATATATATACGTATACTCGTATATATCCTAAACATGACATCACTTACCAGGGTGAGTTGAAAAGTGTTGTGAATGAAAGTTGTTTACACATAATATGGAGATAAAATTTTGTTTAGATACATCTGTTTTGGGTGATCGAATGATTATTTACTAGTCTTTTGTATATGAACACTAACTCACCGTGTTGTACTTAGGAAGGTATCTCTGGTTCAAAAAATCGCCGCTACTGGCTAGATCTGAGAGCTATATCTGGGTAGACTTAGTTTCGAAACCACAACGGCTGGCCACGCTGCAAAAATTGGCGCGTTATAGAAAGAATTCAGTCTGATGATGAGCCAATAATGTTCGACGAAAAATTACTGTGATAATATTGGTTTATACAAAGCGCCGTATAATCAGTATTAATCTCAAAAATTGTTTGTAATCTAACTACGAACTAGACAAAAGATTCATAGTCGTATTTAAGATGCTATATTTGTTAAATACGTTTTGAGGAGTTGGTTGTAAAGAGGATTTTTCAAAAATTAAAAACTCTGCAGACTGGGATAGGAGATATCACATAATATAACTTGCTCAACGATGTTAATGTGATCAAGTGAAAGTGGCTACACGGATTATACATAGTGTTATCTATAAGAATTATAGACAAATATACGAGTACACTCTTTATTTGGAAAATATGTCGCCTTCTACAGGGTGATCCATACGAGGCACTACACACGTATTTTTTAATGGAATAGCATGTATATTTTAGAATATCCATGCTGGAAGGCACTTTTAAAGGAAGAAGTTTGATAAATCATAGCATATCGTTTGTAACTTTTAGTTCTGGAGCTATGGAACTTTTTCCGAAAAACACTTAACACCTTATAAGTGGAGACAGAGTTAACAAATTTTTCATCCAAATGAGCTTCATACCTCATAGTCTTACGTACGCTTCCTTTTAGTTGTGTGCATCATTTGTATTTAAAACTCAAATTGAATTCGCCCTCATCATGTGGAATCTATTGATTTTAAATTGTAATATCTGAAAAACTACGAATAACATCAAATCAAGTTATAATGTTATAATATGTAATATTTAATTTTTTTGAGAAAAGGGACATTTTGCGTTCATAAACATCCTGTAAGAATGATTCATAAAATAAAATAAAAATGTACAAATTATTAGAAACTATAGAATATGAGGAAATTAAGCTCATTTTCACGAAAAATTTCATACTCTTTGCAAAAGTGCCTGACTTGCACACTGTCAATTTTTTTCGGATTAAATATCCCGTATCTCTAGAAGTAGCGATCCAAACTCCATTAGAGTCTATATAAACCTTTTTCCATTAAACACTTTTCAGAATACACTAACATATACAGGGAATTTAGAAAAATATATGTTTGTGTTGTCATGCAGTTATGAATCACCCTGTAGAGAGCGGCATATTTTCCAAGGAAGGATCTTATAGCGGCCTATAATTTTTATGATTAACTTTCCAGATATCTCATAAAATAACAGAGCGATCAATCGGTTATACGCTAAATAAACAACTCCCCGACCCAATAACGGATAGCGTTTAACAAAAGATTCTCGATGAAGTTTGTGCTTCCTTTGGTCCAGTTCTAATAGACGTACAATTCATGTAGTTTGTGTGAATGAAAGGTTAAACTTTTGCTTATCAATAGGACTTTCTAACCCAGAACATGAAAGAATGATTCACTCAGCCAATAGTAAAATATACTTTGTATAAACCAACATACTGTAAAATTTAGTGGCCTAATACATTAATTTTCTATGTTTAGATCTTAGATTTAGGTGTTATTCCGCATGGGTTAATAGTAACGAAAAAATAAAAACTAAAAAAATGTGTTGAATGTGGGGAGAGTATGACTGAAACTGATTATGAAACGACGAGGCAGTATTTGACTAACTGGTATTCCCACAATTTAATGATTGTTTGTAATATTCAAACTTCTATAATTTATTTAAATACTTTTGATAAAATAAATTGGAATAATTTTTTAACGTGTGAAATATATGCATTTGTATGGTCAAAATATTGAACTCACAACACTTTTCAGTACTCTCCTGTATGTGTAAATTGTCTGTAGGAATAATTTCATTTAGAAATAAGTCATTAACAACAGAAAATGATAGAAAATAAATGTAAAGCAATTAGATTTCATGCAAAAATATAAATTTATCACAACTTATATTGAATTCAAATCTGAGATAATAAGAGAAAAATCAACCAAAGACCTTAGTCCCAAAAAAAAGTGAAAAGTTGGGTTTATTCATTTTCAACATTTCTTGTAAATAGTCTTTTGGATTTTTCCAACTTGAAGATCTATAAGCTTAGAAAGAAATATCTTTTATTTGGGAAACGTTGTATCTAGGAGATTGGACTATAGATGCATAGACATAGTTTTAAAATCTGGTACGCTCTTCTCTTCTTAAGCTATGTGGGGCCGCTGGGCCCACAGCAAACTCGTCACCTGCGTCTGAGAAGCCGCAGTGCCGAGCGAAATCCGGTTATGGCCGTTTCCTCATTTGTCGGTGCGGTATCGGTGCGGCGGCGGTATACGCGGTACCGAAAACTTACCGAGCGCCTATATTTCAATGAGTCCTTTCTGATTAGCGCGGATTGTGCGGAAGCCGGGAGGGATCCGTTCGGTTTACCGCGTCTCAGCACGCTCGTTCAGGCGGCGCTCTGGATTCACCGCAAGTATACGCACATGCACTGCAGAATGGCGGAACTACATTTAACTTTAGTACTGGAAATTGAAAAGCATCCTGTGTTGTTTCATTATTGGATTCAAAAGCTGTTGATATGTTTCTTTTGACATTCTATATATATGAATTAAAATTTTGTATCATCATGTGAAAGTTCTTTTGCTGCAACAAATAGTCGACAGTTAATATTATTTTCGATGTAAGGATGACGCCAATAAGGTTTTCTTTAATTACGTACACGAATATACAAATAACACGCCAAAATATCATCATCACTCGAACTCGAGGACGACATCTCTCCACAAAACGAGTCGTACTGCAGAATTTCATACCGAGTAATGCGTAGATGGGAGGAATGCGGTATTGATTCGGTAACAGAGCATACCGCCGCCGCGGCGATACCGCACCGACAAATCAGAAATCGGACTTTTTTTTTTATATCGAAACAGCCGCGCAGGCAGAAGCCTAAATGCCGGAACACCGCGGCTGCTGTGATGATCCCAAAGAAATTTTGTTGATACGATTTTTGAACTGCCTAAGGTTAGTAGAACTGGGAAAAGCTTCCTTCCGTAGATTGTTCCACAATCTAGACACCCTCGGGACAAAGGAGCGGTCGTATCGGCCAGTTCTGGATGTACGAAGTTTGACACGGTTAGGATGGGACGCCGAAGTCAGGCGGGTCTGTCTGGCAGGCACATCGCGCGGCGGCATCATGGAAGAGAGCTCTGAGGAGCAAAGCCCGTTGGTGTAGCGATAGAAAAGAGCTAGATCGCCGACGACCCGCTGGTGCGAAAGAGTCCCGAGACTGTCTGTTAGAGGAGAGTCATCGATCAGTCGGACCGCCCTCCTCTGGACAGCATCAAGCATGGACAATGTAGTCGGGGCGGCAGCACCCCAAATGTGTGAGCAATACTCGAGGCTAGGCCTTATCTGGGCCTTGTATAGAGTGAGAATGTCATGCAGAGAAAAGTACTTCTTAGCCCTAAACAAATAGCCTAGCTTTTTCCCAGCAGCTGCAGCTATTGAAGAGATGTGTTCGTGCCAGATCAGGTCCTCGGTGATCTGGACTCCGACCAGCCGAAATGAATTCCTCTTTGGTAGAACTCGACCGTCCATCGAAACTGTATGAGCGCTAGGACGCTTTTTGTTCGTCAAAGTACAATACTGTGCTTTGGAAGCATTGAACTGTACAAGATTGTTGCGTCCCCAAGCAGTGATAGCCTCCAGGTCTCTTGTCAGAGAAGAAGTCGTCGCTAGTCTTCTTTTTTCCAGCTCAGCGGCAGAGATCGGCTTGTCACTCTGAATTCCTGCATGTAGAGTGCTGTCATCAGCGAAGCTGTGGATTGGGTTGATCGTGCAGGAAAGGAGGTCGTTGATATGTAAGAGAAACAGTGTTGGAGCCAAGACCGATCCCTGGGGAACACCCGCGTTGACGTTGTGGGATGAAGAGGAGAATCTGTCAATTACGACGGATATCTTGCGGCCAGAGATAAAGTCAGCCAGCCATCTGCAAAGCTTTTCTGGGAGGCCATAGGATGGAAGTTTGCTTAAGAGGGCAGCGTGCCACAGCTGATCGAACGCTTTCGTGATGTTAAGAGCAACGACATGAGCCTCACCATGAGACTGGATGAGTTTACTCCACAGTTGCGTGACGTAAGCTAGGAGGTCCCCTGTGGATCGTTGGTGCCGGAAACTAAGACTAAGACTAAGACAGAAATGGGCTATTCTTTATTCTATGAACAAATTTGATGATTCAGATTTAATTTCACTTTCAAGGAAACGAGACAAGAAATATTATGATTGCTTCCATGCGGTCTTATCGGAGTATTGATTTAAACTTAATCTCATATTATAACTTTTTTCCAAGTACTATACTTCAGTGATGGAAAAAATACTCGTACACTTTGAAAGTAACTTAGTTCGGCGGGAAAATCCCTAATTACGTAGTGAATTCGATCGTTCTTGTTATAAAAGTGTACTTACTCAAACGCAAGTATTAGTTGGGTTGGCTAGAAACTGATCAATAACGATAGGTACTCGATACTGCATAAACGGCAGAGTTTGAGCAATGCATCTACGAAAGTGACTGACTTACAAATACAAACTGTCAAAGTTTAGTTTTTTTCATATAAACTATTCCGTAGCTCCAGAAGGAGTGAGTATTATTCCATTTAAAAACTGTTTCCACATAGTTATGAAACACCTTGCGGAGAGTTGCATATTCTCCAAATATATGCCTATAATTTTTGTATTCAACTGCTATAAATACATATACTTTATACTCGTGAAAACAGAGCTATTGACCGGCATTACTGAGTTCATTTTGTTTAATAGTTGTTCAAAGGTGGTTTTTACGGGGCGGTTTTTAGGTTTTTTTTACCCAAAATTTTATATTTTATAAAACGTATTCAATGCTCATTTAAATTGAGGTTAAGGCATGCTAAATTTTATTATTGTTTACGTAATTGCTGTGAAAAGTTCCTTTGTTGGAGAGTTTCTATTATCAGTGATTTCATACTATTAGTATTTAATAGTGTAGTTTCTCAGAATGTACGATAACTTTAATAGGTTACTGTATGTCCCAGCTAGTCATAAAATAGGGAATTTTGTTAACAAACCCTCGTAGCAACACTGTTAGAAGGTACAAATGAAAAATAAAAATAGTGCATATAATTTGATCACCTCAAACCTCAAAAATATGCATACCTGTGATGGAGCAGCTACCGATTTGGCACCGAACTGGGACTGAGGAGTCAGGGGAGTTTGAGGAGTATTAGAAGAAGTAGTCGAGAATTCCGTGACAGATTGCACCCCTTGAGGAGTAGTTTCAGTTTTCACTTCCTTGATGGTCTGTGTAGACTTCACAATGTTAGGACTCGCCGATGAATATTTTTGGGTCGTGTGTACTTCGTACTGACGCGTTGCTTGATAACTCTGTTGTTGCACAGATTGTTGCTGTTGGACGAGACCTCCTCCGGGAGACTTGTAATGCTGAACAGTTTGGTACTGTGAAACTTCACGCTGCTGGACAGCAGAAGGTTGACTTACTTGCTGAGAAGTCTGAGACTGACTGTATTGCTGCACCGATTGGGACTGAGACTGATTTGACTGGGTTGATTGGGATCTATCGTACTGATTAAACTGGTTGGATTGGTTGTACTGATTGGATTGGTTGGATAAGGACTGGTTCCAGTTATTTTGGTTCTGAGCACCCTGATAGCCGTTCTGTTGCTGAGATCCGGATTGAGACTTGTAGAAGTCCTGATCAGAATCGTACTGTGCCTGAGAAGGCCTTAATGCAGCTTTTTTTTCTTGTGCCTTTTTGTTCTTCTCGATATCTCCCAAGTACTGCTGGCCTAAGTAGGTATGTTGATTTACTGGCTCATGAGCAGCTTTGAATTTAGTAGTAGTCGGCTTCCTCCACAGGGGCAGAGGGTCGTTGACTTGAGTTTCTGGAAGTACCGGTTTTTCTGGGCGCTTCCAAGCAGCTGGCTGATAGATGGGAGCAGACGAGGGAGAAGAGATGGAAGGAGCTGGGTTGGACCTATATGAGGGTTCAGGAGCGGACCAAGCGGGTTGAGGCTGAGGGGAGGGGGCAGACCAAGCAGGTTGCGCAGGAGTGGTCACAGGGGATTGGACGGGTGCCCAGCCCTTGGCAGACTGATGAGGGGATGCCAAGGGAGAGGAACCTGCTGGCGAACGTACGTCTAGCGGAGTTAGGGGTGCACGACTGGGTGGCGCCGGGGCCGTCTGCTGTTGCTGGTAATATTGCTGCTGTTGCTGATGGGGCGGAGCGGGTGAACCCTGGTAAAAAAGTAAATAAAGGTGGTTTAACGCTGTGTTGGGGATGAGGAAAGGCTTCTGCGGGAGTAATCCAGGCAACCTGGAGGTAGTAGGATGATATTTCAGGCAAGTCAAGATAAAAATACGGGTCGTGCGTAAATGAAAAAAATATTTTCAAAAAAAAAATCCGGAACTTTAAACCCCTTACATATACTACTACTACTATACCCCAACGCCCGAATTTTAACCACTATAATTTTTTTCTGGCAATGATCAGTACCCTCTGAAACGTCAAACAACGAATCTAGACCATTTTTTATTTTCTTCGTTTTCGACTATTTTCATCATAATTCGAGCGGTACTTCTCAAGTTATAGACGGTCCAAGGAGTAGCGAACAGTCAGACAGACAGACTGACGGAAGTGAGTGACGTAGTTTCTCTTGATGTACTGTATAGCATCCAAAAACGCAGTTTCTTGGGTTCGAATTTTTTCGCGATTACAATACAATGAATGGATCACTTTTTGAAGGTTTTTGACCGCTGTGAGGTTGCATAATTTCATTTTTTAATTTTCCTATTGTTCCAATTTAGGGGAAGATATTTATTTCTAAAAATATGTAATCAGTACGGTTTTCAGCTAGTGCTCGTTCCATTCAAATGCACAATCTAATTATTTCATTTTTACTTTAATGTTTCTTTAAGCTAATTTAAGTTATCATATACTCTAAATTATTAAACAGTATAAAGAACGATAAATGTTTAAAATAAACTCTAAAAGCAATAGTAAAAGTGAATGTTTGAACTCGAAACTTCATGGCGCCCTAAATCCATAGTTTTTACTGTCGGACAAATGAAAATTAATGTGTATAACCAATAAATTAATTTATGTTTCTGTTGTTTTAAGCAACTGGAAAATTACTTGTTCGATTTCAATGTGTAATTTAAATTGTATGTATTTTAAATGCAAATAAGATCAAAATCTATTTTCGCATACATGGATTTTTGCTATAAAAAAAATAAATCATTTTGAGGTCCATGTTAAGCTATAATCCAATTTCCCCCCTGGCACGACTCTTATTCTTATCTAGCCACTATTAAAAATATGTTTTCGTCAAATATTTTAGACCTCTACAATTTCTCCTAGCAATTAATGTCTATTGCTTAAGCTAGAAACAGGGATTCTCATACTACAGTGGTAATATTACAAAGAGCTTTAAAAAAAAGCCATAGTATTTCTTCGCCATTATATTAGTTCTCTATGATTTTTGCTCAGGATACAAAATACGCTATAAAATGCTGATGCTTTGAATTATTATATACTTGAATCCTACTAGATTCTATATGTTTTATCTTGGTAGCTGAGCTATCTAGTTAAAATAACTATTCACTTCCATATCACATTTTTATGTTTGCTATCGTCAATTCAACAATCTACTGTACTATCTTACTATAATATGTACTGCTAACTGACGTTCATATTTCTAAAACGTACCTATAATTCAATAATTTTCTATTGAGTTGAGTGTTACTATTTTCCAAGAGAACATAGATTACCCAAAATCGGGTAAACATTTTACTGTTATTGATAATTGGATCCATGTAAGTAATCATTGGTTTGATCAAACAAACAGTTAAAAGGGGTCTCTTACGGAGACAAGCAGATAAAAGTAAATTGCAAAACATGCTAAATCAGTCTCCAAATATCATGAGGCATTAATTAAAGATACGGCACAGTGACCCCACCTGTGTTGGAACTGAACTGTGTTCGGAGTATGGACCATCAAATCCTGATTCGTTCGGTGGGGGCCAGGCTACCCTCTTGGCACCTGCAAATAATAAATTTATTTAGTAAAATAAGTCAATACAAAGATAGGTTTGATACAATTACATTGGTACTTCACATGCAAATAAACACACAACAGTAATAATTAATAGATCACATTTTAGAAACAGAAATACCGAAACATCCAGTAGTAATAGTATTTGTGATTCGGGAATATTGCTATAAACGGTTATATGCAAAAATTCGTTGTTTTTCTTCATGTATTTGTATGCACGTCGTTTACAGAAACTCAATGGAAGTATGAGTCCGTAGGTGAATTTTCAACTATGACACTAAAGGTGTCATGAAAAAAAAAATAACGACGCAACTATGAAAACCGCCTGAAAAAATACAAAAGGTACAACACACGTCAAAATATTCGGACCCGTCTTTTAGTACGAAAGACACAAATAATTTTCCGCAGAAGTATAGCAAAATACACAAAATACCTTTAATAGTGTTTTGTAGAAACGAAAACCAACCCTACTTTTTAAGTGTCTATCCAACATAACGCGGTCCAGAACTTTTATGCTCAATAGCAGTAGCCAAAGAATATCTTTGACAGTTCGCAACATTCATCTACATACTACAGCTCATCATACTATCAAATCTGATAGCCAAATAAAAACTGTAGTCAAACTGTCAGAGTTATACCATGGCTACCGCTACTCAGCATAAAAGCGCTGCACCGCTTTATGCTGCGCTTGCTGAACGGTCACATTGTCTTTCATTTGCGAACTCCAATGGTTTATGTCAATTTTATACCCTCTACTTGAATCAGACTCCCCCCCTTATAAGCAAAGTCAAATGTCGATATGCAGAGGACTCATCCCACTTTGATAAAAATTGTTATAAAATAACTGCATAATATAACAATCGCTTATTTCGCGTTTGGACAGATTTTATAGAAATTCCTCATTTCAAGTTAAATGTTTTAGCGTAATTTGCATGAAATCCAGTAATTTGTTATAATAAAAGACCCTACAGAAACCTTATGTGAAATGGATTTTGTCTAATCTTTAAAAAAATGATCATGTAGACCTCAATATGTAAACCAACAGTGCTTATAAAGTTTTTCCGCGGGTAGTTTGCGAGATACAGGGCTCCAAGTTTAGCTGTCATAGCGTATAGAGAGCGTGGTACATGATTTGTGATAATTTTGATATTTATTTGAGTTTTTATTATCATATGTACTGGTTATCTGTAGATCCTTGTCACGAACTTAAAAAACAAAACTGTCCAGGATTATCGTACATTGTACCTGTGAGAATATACATATTTAAAAAAGAATCAGAATTATACACGGTACACTACTGAACTGGATATTAAATTTGATTTATGTTAGGTATGCATACTCTTAACTTATTATTTTGATAGACCTGCATGCTAGTCGTTTTGTAAGGTGGTCGTTGAGATATTTTGTAGTTTATTTAGTACATATGACTGACAGAGTAAAAAAGTTTGGATTTTTTGAAGCTTTGTATTACTTCGTCAAATAAACACACAAATTTTCCAAAAATTCATTCACTAGATCGTTGTTCGACTCGATTACTACTCACTCAAGCACACATTGACACTGCACTGATCAGAAAAAATATAACGAAGGAGCAGCGAAGTTAGAGCGACTGGGAGCTGCAACCGAACACAATTCGCCTAACTTCGCGTCCTTTGCTTCGGACTATTTTACCGACAATCATCGGGAATAACTACGTACTACCACGAAGTGCGAAGGCAAGGGGAAGTCACTTTCCCACACAATCCTCGAAGTTAGGCGAATACAGCATATTCGGCGACGCTCGTAGTGTCTGGGACCGGCTTTATACATCTCGATAACTATTCGACAAAACACAGAAGTATGCGGGTATATCTATGTAAGTCCACCATGTACGTACGTCACAGAATGTATGATTAGAACCAAACAGCTATTACAGATCGTGTACTGTAACCGCTTTACAAGAGAGTAAGGACACCCCAACTTGGAGTCTCCCTATCTCGGAAACTTCTTGTGGGATAACGTTTGGTTCCGGAACACATTTAGTCTAGATGTTAAGATCTCAAATATTTCAAAAAATGAAGTCTTAAGCAATCTGGAAATAGTTTAAGCTTGATGAAGACATGCTTTCTGACTATATTAATAAGGGTGGAATGCTGATTATGTGAAGTAATGATCAACTATATTGAATAAAAATAATTTGAAAGGCATAAGTTATACTGCTGCGGTTACTGCAATGTGCATAGGTAACTTTGTTTATACAAATCTATTAGTCGTAAAATGAGATTTTTTCCTGGCAGCCCAACTGAAAACAAAGTTGTGGTTGTATTTGAACATAAAAATTTATGAATAGGCCATCAGTTTCTAAATAAAATCGATGGGCAACCGAATGGTATATTTACTCGGTTGCCAAGTCTTCATTTGTTTTGCATAAATTATTTATGTAAATGCTTGTTGCCTGTTGGCTATGACACAGATTCATACATGTTATTACACAGGTTATTTTAGCAAATATCCGATAAAACCTATGAATAGAATGTAAAAGGTAAAGTCCACTGCTATGAGGTTACGGGGCACTAAAAGGGGAAATCAGTCCTCTTTCAGCTTGCTTGTTTGTTTGCCAAAGACCTGGAAGAGTCAGTCAACCATAAGCATTGTTTTAATACGTCCGATTAAAAAATGGTGAATACGGTGGCGTTTTATAATTGGAAGATGTGCCGGTATGGAAAATCAAGGTTGTGGGTTCCAAGCACATTGACTACATATTTTTCTTCTGTTTATCTCCCACTTGTCCAGACCTAGGCATTATTCGCACCACTTGTGTTGAATTTCATGCAGGCTGTCCAAGAGTAACTTGTGCACATACTTATAGAAAATGGCGACAAGTAGGTTGACTCTGCACACGCGACGTCCTTATCAATATACAGGGTGTCCGCAAAGTTGGGGTTTTCCTTTTCAGAAACAACTACCCTTGAAATAACAAAGGTAATGTGTAGTGAAACGAGGGCGACCAAGTAAGAAAAATAAAGGAAAAAGTACTCACTCTCCAGTTGACGAGAAGGGCGAAGTACGTCTCTGCCCGAAATCATACCGCTCCAACAGAAAATGAAATCAGCTGATGCGCTACCGAGCAGACGCAGAAACCACATTGATTGTCTTGCACTTAATGGCACATCTTCTAACAAAGGAAGACAAAATGTTGCGTGAAAAGTCTAGGTATTGCATCCCGTCCAATCGATTTGGGAGAATAAATGGTCCAATGAGCATACCGTTCACCATGCCAGCCCAAACATTCACCGAAAATGTTTGTTGAAAATGCGCCCGACGGACAGCGTGCGGAGTTTCTACTGACCAAACATGAGTGTTGCGAAAGTTATTCACCCCATTACGCGTGAACGTAGATTCGTCTGTCACCAATATGCACTTCAAAAAGTCCGGATTATTGTCATGTTGATGCAACAACCACTCACAAAACCGCACTCTTGCTGGAAAATCGTCAGGTTGAAGGGCTTGTACACGTTGGACGTTAAACGGATACAGCCCCTCTTCACGCAGCGTTTGCCACACTTTAGTTTTTGATACTTGCACTTCTCTAGCCTCGTCTCTAGTGCTTGTTGAGGGATTCTCGTCTACGCGATTATCTCTACACGCGTGACCGTAACCGTCGGTTGAAGGTTCATACTGACCTGACACACTGACCCCGACCCAGTTCTGTCGTCGGGTTGAGCCAGTGACCTTGTACCAGTCGGTGATGTCGCGGCTACAGGACGGTATTCAGATATGTTTGATGTTGCAGAGCCCTTTATCTCGGTTCCCTTAAGACATTGGTGTATATGTTACTAAGAAAAATTGCTTATGTTTTCAATATCTACACGTCGTGTAAAGGAAAATCCCAACTTTGCGGACACCCTGTATAAAAGGATATGTTCAGTACAAACTAGACCCTCTGAGAAAAAAGTCAGTCAACCAGGTCCATACAATTAGTCCATAGACAATCTTTACCTGCCCTATCTGACCTATATAATGTCAAAAAAATACTACTTCTTGTTGACTAAGTAATCTAGTACCTATGCAAATAGTTCATTTCGTGCTTGGTACAAGTGAGCATGAAGTGAACGACAGCTAGTTACAAGTTGACGTCTTGTAGGAAAATCGACATAATCTCATAAAACACTCATCACGGTAGGTACATGTCGCTATTTTTCAGGGCTAATATACAGAGAAATCTATGATGTGTGAAATATGTCTAATAGGTGCGTAAAATTACCAATGTTGTGAGCATATAAATGTATCAGCACCAAAAAATTGAGATAAGCCCTCATCATCCTCTTACAACCCCCACCGCCAAGTTTTTTTAACTCTAACATTTTTTTGAAAAATGATCGGGATCCTCCGAAACGTCAAAAAACGAGGCTTGAGCAACGTTTACTTCTTTCATTTCAGGCCTTCTTCTCTGCGGTCACTGGACGTTTGCGTCCTTGGCATAGTAGTAACACTGAAAAATTTTCATCGAAATCCGGAAGATATTTCTCAAGTTATAGGTGGTTATAAGATTAGCGGACAGACCGACAGAGAGACAGACAGACGGAAATGAGTGACTTGGTTTTTGGTGATGTACCTGCATCTCATATAACATCCAAAAACGTGATATCTCATTAAATCAAAATTTTCGTGATCACAATATGCCAGTAGGCGTGGGGAGTTATAGAATGTCACAAATTTCAATAAAAATGTCCTCAGGTACTAACCTACGGTGATTCAGGCCTCTAAAGGGCGGATTGGAAATTAATTTTTATGAAATAACTTTCAAACGACGTGTAGAATTCAACATAATTTTGACAGGTTACTAACCATTTTGAGACTGACTTAATAGTGTCCGTAGAAAAATAATTGACATCTTTAGATCACCGGGGACGAACTAGCCAAGAATAATATATTCTTGTTTTTTTTTTCGATAAAATCGCCCGTTTCTGAAGATCGTAAGGACCCATAATTATACAGGGCTACAGAAAAGTGATGGATAATACTTAAAGACTGACGCTATAGTATCAAAAAATCAACCGTTCCGGAGATCCATCACGTTTTACCATTTATCCTAAAAATATCAATTTTATGCATTAATTTATATTTTTCTGTCCCAGAAGACCTACTATTCATTAGTTCCGAAAAATCATCTTATTTTCGATAATCCTTCATTTTATGTTTTCCTCTTATTGCATCATTTACAAGAGTTTTGAATCGACAAAGGAAAACGTGTTAATTTTTTTATTGTACCTGCCTGAGATACTACATATCCCATAACGAATACAAAAAGGAATTCAGTAAATATAGTTTATGTCCGTAGTAAACACCTTCATGTTAATAATAATACCCAATCAACATAACACCTGAATGTTGGCACAACTTCAAATCGATCCTACGAAAGTATTTCCAATAAACTACGTAATCGGTGGCTCACGGAGTATTTTCATTCGTCATAAGTCAGCAGCTAATTTTAAAAATTAAATAGGATTTTGTTTAAGTGCACACTCAATCGTGAATCTGATCGTTAGAACATGTTCTCAATAAATTATGTACTGAATTACTTCATGAGTGTAAAAAGCATGCTTTATTTGGTCTGGTGGCGCGATCTTTTGATCTTTATCCACTATTATGTTTCTAAAATATAGCGTGCAAAGTTGTCGTATTTTTGTCATTAAGTACTTATCAGTCCCAATTTTCTCTGTCTACTCGTTTCCTTTCTCTGTCCACTTTAAATTAAAATTAGGCAGCAGCGGTGGTCACAGTGGTAGACGCTTCGTCTCCTAATCAGTCGCCGTGCGCTGCGCGGGTTCGAATCCAGTTCCAAGAGAAATTTATTTCTTGGCTATGAATGTTGTGATTGTCCGTAGGTCTTTGAATGTCGTACGTGGAGGTACCACCGGGCGGATCTCGTAGGCGGGGTCAGAATGTATGCATGCTGCATGCACACGTGATCCCGCGCTAGACTCCGTGTGCCGTCCCCCCCTTTCCCCTGTTTTCCCCCTATAGCCCCACGGTACCCCACGGGTGTTTAGGCCTTATGCCTTTGTGGAATCTGGAGTATAAAAAATAATAAATGAGATCGCTATACTTAAAAATTACAAACAAGTTTGTGGAATAGTTTATGACATCTTCACCACGAAAATCCATGGAGCTCATTTTCTCCGGTTTGCTGGCACATTTATAACCTCATAATCTCAGGAACAGTTGCACAGATTTTGATGAATTATCGAGAGCGACAAGGTCTGCTCCAATTTTTTATTTTCACTCATTGCGCACAGATCTGAGAGTGTCAATAGACATCATGGAGTTAGATTGTATTGGAATTGTTCCTGAATTCGAATTTTGTATTGATACCGATTAAATGTTATACAAGCCACTCCAACAGTTATTTAAATACATAGTAGTTTAATTTTCGATAATATGAATCTGAAAATTTTGATCATTTTAGTAAGGCGCCAATAATTTTTTAGAAAGTTAATTCAAAACTGACGTATTTTGCCGTGTCTGGAGACAAGTCTTCAAGAAACCCTTATTAGCTCTTACATATTGCGAGGGGACTTGAAAGATATAAGACTAACCTGTATATCTACTTATAGTATTTGTTTCATTCTTGTCCTATCAGCTAGTGGCGCAGGATAGTATTCTGCGGGAGGGGGGCGGACCGCCCTGGGTACCACCCCTTTGGGGGTGACAAAAATTGATCTAAAAAGGCTAGTGGTTGTTTAGGGGGAATTTTTTTAGCAAAGAACAGCAAAACACGTCGGAATGATTTTAGCTAGAGTTTCGTTCGATCGCTACAATTGTGCCTGAAGCCCAATTTTCTATTAGAACAGGAAGTGTAATGGCACTTTATCTATTGAAAGCAGTGTAGCCAAAGAGATCGATATTAATGAGGCTATTTCTCAGTTTGTAGATAACAAAGTTAGAAAGAAGAGGTTCTAAATAGAAATAAGGTTTATAAAAACAACAAGTTTTGTTAAATTCGTGAAAAAATCAGAATATATCATTTAATCACCAAATGGATGAACACAGTAGGAAAAATCCTGTACGCCTATAGTAATATACGAAGACTAAAACGTTTCCTTTCAAAATATAATTTTCCCTTAAAACCTTGTAATAAAATGTTTTAGTGTTACTCAAGTCAAGTATAGTATATTGGAATGATAATGTTAATAGGACCACTATTTATAAAAATGTTGAATTTATGTTTGTCATTTACATTAAAATGTTTACATACAAATTCTATAAAGCACACTTTGCCCTACACTTCTTTGTATACATAATTTAATCACTTCAAATAACTTTTTTACTTCTATGTTTCTACCATGACCAAATAAGGCTCAACAATGTTTATTATTTAATGTTAGGGTGGGCGGGGGTTAATTCCGCCCTCTGACTGTCACAAGGCCTTGCTTCGCCACTGCTGTCAACTAGTATTATCGATATTTACAACTACATGCCCTACCAGATGGGGAAGATGCCACACTTTTATTTTTGTTCTCATAGTATACAGAAAAATTAAAAGTGTAATTGAAAAAAGTGCTCCAAGCGATATTTTTAATTTTTCTGTGATATTGGAGCTACATTTGAAATGGCGTCATTTCTGTTATATGTCACCACGTCACTGACACTGATTGAATAATTCGTGTTTTTTTTTATATTTTTCAACATCCATGCGATAATTATATGTTTGCATCTTACAAACTAGAAAATAGCATTATCCATCGGTATAAAAATAGATAAATGCATGATTATATAGTTCTAGTCACCGTTCTGGGCGGTTACGTCATCAACGTCATATGAAATAAGTAAACAGATCGAGTCTCCGTACCATGGGCGGAACACTGCGCAGACTAATCTTCAGCACATCTGCTACTCTCTCCAGTACGCATGAAGCGAGTAACAGGTGACTGCTGTTTTCATTCTCTTCCTGGAAATACTTTAATAAATTTAGTACGAGCTGTCGGCCTTCTCCATTGATTGCATTTCCTGGCATTGTAAAATTTTATATTGAAGATTGATAACAGGACAACTCGAATTGAACGCCGATGTCAAGTAAGCTGTCACTCTGACAAATATGAATGAAGCGCACTCTTACGTAACGACAGCTTTTTCGAGACGGAGACATACATCCAAAGATCGTATGTCTTTGAGCTTACCGAACAAAAGTTCACACACAGGGTTAGGTTGCATGTGTATGTATGAGGGAGATGGAGATATATAAAGGAATACTGGTACATAATTGTGATTTCTACTCACGTAACAAGAATGGTACACTGATTACCAAAACTGACAATGTTTGCACAAACGTTTTCATATAAAAATACTGTTTTTTATCAACTGCCCACTACCGAATAGTTACGTGAATCACACGAACAGCTTAACCAGGTATAAAGTATGCTCTACAAAATTATTCGTGATATACATTCTCGAATTTACAGCTTGCCAACATGGATACAAGCATATGTTTCGGAACATTTTCATTACACGGTTAATAATAATTTTGTTTTTCTTGTCAACCCAGCCTGTTAAAATAGTTTTCTCGGAGATTAATGTAAGCCAAAGAGTGTCGTTTCCATTTTTGGAAGTGACGGGTAGCTTAAAACATAAAATGTAATGAAAAATTAAGTATAAACGTTTCATCCATATGAACAGCCGGTTGCATATGCATTTTGTGCAACCTGTTCGCGTCAATTTCTGATAATTTTAGTGACGATTGCTTTGTATATTCTTATGTATAGCTAAGGTTGATTCAACAATTGCGGCACAATTTTACGTTTTCAAAATTCATGAAAAGCGTGAAGGGTAGGCTCTTTTTGCTCATAGTCAGCGGTCCCGAGTTTTGAGCTGCTGATCACCATGTGAAAGCACTAGCCTTTTCACTGTGGATGAACGGCCACTGAAAGCATACAAGTAGAACACAGTGCCCAGACATTGTTTTATTATCACAATGCAAAGTACTAGAGTAGAAATATACCTCTATTGAAATACTTTTTGCTAAGGTTCTTGAGCGGCAAAAAACTACTCCCTTGTATGAGGAAATGTTTTTCCTAGAAAAAAGCATAAATTTTTCTGTGCCCTTTCCAATGTCATTAATGTAATGATAAATTTCTGCAAACATACAAAACCATTGGTAGCTTTTAGCCAGAAGATTATGAGAATATATTGTTCTTAAAACTATTTGCATAGTTTCTAACATTTCAAGTTTAGTGTAGATTTAGTTTCCTAGTATGACATTACACACAGTATTACATTTTTGTGGTCTTCTTTTCACATGAAATACTTCGTCTTTAGTTATAAATCTTAAATACAATATTTAAATTCAAAAAACATTTGCTAAGTAATAAAAATCAAAATATTAGTCACATGCAAAAATTAAATTGAAAAACCATTTCTTTTTGGTGAAATTAAAACATGTAGTCATTTGTAGTTAAGTTTACCTTCTTGGCACGTTATCTAAATCCAACAGGTACAAGACACGAGACAATACCGAGAAAACGCACACACTAACTGATTTAAAAATAGAGAACACACAGTTAGTTGTAAGGAAGACCGGTCAGGTATACCACCCTCACAAAAAACTAACACCGGTTAGTTTTCATGGAATATCTGCCGCGAGAATACATTGCAGCACAAGACAGGCTGGAATAGAGGGGGGTCAGGACTACGTGACGACATGATTCCAACAAACATGCGCCATGACTATACGTTGGCACTGCATAACTTCCGGGAATGAGCTTTTGCAGGAGTGATCTTCAAAACAAATGTAGAATGAGTAGATGAAGCTGTACTTCGAGGCAAATTCATGATGGTTCGTATCATAGAACTACTCATTCAATGACCTATTGCTATTCATTAATGTAAATGGAAAGTTTGAATATGCTGTTTTCAGTTTTAATTACTTGCAGGTGTTGGGCCATCTTTGATTATGTACTTGAATATTGGATCACAAATAACAAGCATTTTTTTATTCTCTATCGCATTATAGCAACATCTGAAAGATGTTCGAATAAAAGTTGTACTCCGATTTTTCTGATATTCGTACTACTAAAGAACCTTTGTTTTCAGAAATGTCATTTTAAAGCGGACTTCAATTAATACTAATATTTTTTGGTAGAAATATATGGAATCATATACACGTACATACTCGTATATAAACATTCGTCAGTATCTTACAATTGTTCAAGCAGCATCGGTACCTATATAGGATATCCCACAAAGAATTGCATCGATGGATTACCCGGCAAGTATACGGTGGACAACTACAAAAATTTGAGGTTTTGCTACAATTGATAGAGATAATTTAAATATTTTTTCCTCAAAATTGTGGCACTTCCGGCTTTCAATAATCGGTTAGTCTCATTTGGACATAGCGCAACCTAATAGAGCATCTAAACGGGCAATATTTGTGTCTTCGGATAAATCAGTCTCGACTGTATTTTCACAATATTGATTGACATTTGTAGACGTATATCTGATCACAATTTCTCAGCAGAATGATACAAAATCAGACAAGGATGACGAAATTGTACACACCGCGACAGCTTTAAAGCTTACATTACTTTCATTACATTAAGTAGGATTCTAATATATTGGCAATCTGACTATACGAAAATAGTTCGAACATGTAGAAAAGTATGATTGGGCTAGAAAATATGAGAAAAATATTGCCCGTTTAGAAGCGCTATGAGGTGAACCACGAAGGATATGTAACTGTGGTCGCGCCATGGCTAACCGAGATTAACTGATTGTTAAAAACCGGGTGGCACATTATTACAATAGGAAACAGTTCTTTCAACATATATCGGGAACTACTGATCTGTGAAGTAAACAGCATTATACAAAGACTATCCTTATTTTCCAATGTTGAATACGATAAAATTATGAAATTAGCTTGTTTCCATTTGAATTGATTTATTAGACCTTAATTTTCATGTTCTTTTTTGTACTGCCCTATGTAATTGAGTAGATGAAGATGGAATAAAGTCAACAAAAGTATTCTAAAAAGAAACCGTTACAAAATGAACGGCAAAGACGTAGACACGGAAAAAAATGTTCATTTAAAGGTTGCATTCATGATTTTTTACACAAGGTTGTAGATGTCTCAAAATGGTTAAACTTAGGTGTAGTTAAAGTCCAACTTTGCGTAATTGTTAACGGCTTAACGTATTAGGCAACAGCGGTGGGCGCACTAGTAGACTCTTCGGTCTCCTGATCAGTCGCCGTGTGCTGTGCGGGTTCGAATCCCGTCCGAGGAGAACTTTTTATCTTGGCTATGGATGTTGTGATTGTCCGTAGGTGGTAGGCGGTCTCTGACTGTCGAACGCGGAGGTACCACCCGGCGGATCTCGTAGGCGGAGCCAGAATGTGTGCATGTTGCCAGAGTCTGTGTGGTGTTCCCCCTATAGTCCCACGGTACCCAATGGGTGTTTAAGCCCTATGCCTTCGTAGTAGTTGGAGTATAAAAAAACGGCTATTTTCAGAGTAAGCTATCGCTGCGTTGTTCGTGGGACACCTTATATAGAAAAACATCAAAAAACTTAATTTATTGAAAAGGCCGAGTACATAGTTTGAAAATTGGAGGAACAAAAGATCTAATTTTGTAATAACATACTGCAATTTTCTCCCCTTTCCTTATTTATTCAACTAATGTCATGGATGTATTAGTACATACTTCAAGCATGCCTTTTGCTCTAGGCAGACATCATTTCCTTCCTAGAGCATTGTCTAATATAACTGGATTGAATGAATAACTATGTGATTTTAATTTCTTTATGTCGTTTATTGCTTGTATTTTTTGTATTACCATAAATACAGTGCTTTCCAAAAAGGCCTCCCATTTCTTTTTGAACGGGTGAAGCTAGGGAGCTGAAACTCGGAGTGAAGAAATTAAAGCATAAGTACTATATTTTGATGTAATGGCGACAGTTTAAAACTCATTGGTGACATCTGGGCGCCATCTTGGAATATTTTTTCGATGCAGTGGGGATCATTTGATACCTTATATCAAAGCCCCAAACGGTTTTATCTGAGCTATTGAAAGGTTTTAACATTTTTTCTAAATGGAATGTTCCATAATTTATTTCATATCCGGATAGATATTTCAAAAGGAAGAAGATTGACATAACATATAAAGAGTTTTGATAATAAATTGTTGTGTAAGTGATTCAATGTATAAAAACGATCAACTTTGATAACCTGTCAGTCAGCCATTTTGAAGGACACCAATTTTATATTCTCTGGTTATAAAGAACTAATAAGGAGCTTCAAAATGAGGTATCAAATGACTTCCTGTTCTATTTAAGGAAATATTTCAAGATGGCTCTCAAACGCTAATTTGAACTTTTCAGATGCTGCGTTGACGCCAAGAAAATATTATTCTTGCATCAATTTCATCTTACTGAATTTCAGCTCGCTAACTTGATCCGTTCAAAAGTAGCTGGGGGGAGGGGGGTGAAAAACAATGAATTTAAGAGCTGAGGGCGGACACAAAAACTCATTCCTTCAACACATAGTTAATGAAAAACTTCTATTTTACCTGGTATAACGACGTCTTTGAACTTAGAATGTGACTGGTTCTTTTGCTCGTATTCGGGTGGCGGCCATGATCTTTCTTGGAGGCTTCTCGATTGGCGGTCATTACCTGTAGCCAATTTCCACCAAATTGTATATTGGGAGTAGTTTTTGGAATTTCAATGTCCATGATTTGGTGAAGAATGTACGTTTCACGATAGATGTTTCTTGAACTTGCCTTAGTACAAAGTATAATGAGCGCGCTGGATTAAAATGTTGATTTGATGTACGATGTCATGATTTACTAGAGCGAACAGCAGTAAATGGCTTCAGCCTTGCGCATTTGTAGGTACCCACTAAATGCTATTTGAAACAAACTTAAGGAATCGGAAAACATAATAAAATAATATTGCATCAAAATTTCTAACATCAGTTTTCAAGCGCTGTATATTCAGTTGCTAGAATATGTAGAGAAATAATAATAGAATTTGATACAAATTATAGGTTATGTAACGAAACAGTGGTACATGTGGGCAAAACGAAACCTACATTAGATTCATGATGAAGCGAGATTTCACTTGATAAGTGATGGCGGTAGATGCAAAGGTCTTAGGAATGTAATTTGTATTATTTGTAACTTGCAGAGCCACAAATGTATCATAAAATATGATTGGTATAATGAGTCAATGGATATTTTAAAGGAAGAAAGACATTTTGTTATTCCATGATTTTGAATTTCAGTATTCTTTTTCTACAGATATCATGGATACCTTGTATATTTTTGTACCTTTTAGGACCCCCTTTCCTAATTCAATTTCTACAATATGTGGTATCAAACTTCAACCATTTTACCATTTTTTTAAAGCAGAAAAAAATGATCTTAAAAAATTGATCCAATTACTTGACCTTTTCTTAAAAAAAGGTAAAAACGAGATCTCCTGGGAATTTGATGTACCTTGCGCTATTCTAAGGCACAACGAAGTGAAGAATTTCTAATATTAACTCATCAATTTTTCGATGTGAAAATTGACAAATCCATATTGTGTGATTTTGTGATAACGCAGGTATTTGGTAGGCGCTTAATTTATAACATTCATCATGACGCCATATTTAGGTGGGTCCGCGTATGGAAAATTTTCTGAACATCTCACAACTCGGGTACAGAAGGGTATCTCCTTTCTGAAGAACTTGAACAGCTTTCCTTCAGGTAAAAATATATTTTTTGTTTCGAAAACGTAATTAATAGACTTGAACCACGATATTATTTCTCGGCTGACAAAAACTGGCAAGAGCAGTGAGTGATGCTCCCACTATGCAGTTACTGTTATTAATGCTAGTAGCGCTATAGCAATACGATGCAGTGACTCACTTGATGACATGTGCTACTGCAAGTATCTCATCAAGTTGTGGGCCATGGGATCAAAAAATAGATCGGAATAAAATATATCAAGTGTATTTCTGATTCGCGGACTAATGCTCAGTAGCGCAGCGAAAATAGTATGGGAGATTAAAGGTCACATTTATAGAGATAGACTGCCGTTTGAAGAATGATTTCTCCTTGAATTTAAAGAAACAATAACGCTTTGTTGAGAAACTTTAAAGAGAGAATTCAACATTTACATTTAACAGATGGTTTTCAAAATGTGGATGATTCACAGCATTCGCAAGATTTACAGGATTACCGATATTTTAATTTTTTTTTGAAAATTGGCTACGAATTGATTTTTTTAATTTAGAAATTATTCTAAACATTTTTCAAATTCTTACAACTTCAGTAGCTCTGAAAATGAAGGCAAGTAGAAAATTCCGAAAATTTAAAAATTATACAATTTGTTTAAAATCCATTGAGAGATCATTCCTCGAACGGCACTAAACCCTCAAGGAACGTGTATAATTGTGTCTTTTAGACTTTCAAATGACTGATATGATCTTAACCCTGGAACTGCACACTTATTTTTTATCCTATAAACTGCACACTGGGGTCTAAGAAACCCAAGTATTTTTGTTGGATGTTATATACCCTCATTATTATATTTTTACTTTTTATGTCAAAATACATCAGATAATTCGTAGAAAAAAATATTTTAATAATATTTTGTTCATTGGGTTCAACGTTAATTGTATTAGAACAAAGAATATTACAAATCAGTATACAATTGCACATTAACTGAAGGTAATCAATAAAAATGCAACAAAAAACTTTTAAAAAGCTAAATACATTTTTATTGTCTAAAAAGTCATTATAGAACATAAAAAAAGTTGAAAAATGAAAATACACCTCAATAAATTTCTTAGCCATGAAACTCAGTTTGTGTCTTCACATTGGCAGCAAAGTTTAGCCCTGTGCTCTAAACAATATGGTTTGTAGCATTTAGAACATCCAAAGTTAGTTTTTCTGTCTTTACCACGTGGACATATTGCACATCTAACCTTTCTTGGCAAATCTGTTGCTGGATGCTGTCTTTGTGGCGCATCCATTCCTAGAATTTCACTAATGCTAAGCCGAAGATATGATCGCAGCGTAGTCACTTGTGCCCGCTCTCGTAAATGTGGCTCAATTAATGAATTACTTAGTTCTTTGAGAAACGTTTTACGATTATTTTTAGTATTTTCTTTCCAATCTGGATTCACAAGAGAGAATATAATCATAGCATTAATTCCACTGGCATCCAACATATTGAAAAATATTCTCACGGGCCACCTTCTAGTTTTGCGTGATGTCGTGTAAGAATGACATAATTGGTCAAAACTATCCGTTCCTCCCTTCGTTTCATTATATAAATGTATCAGGTTTGGCTTTCCAGTATCAACATTAATGGATGAATCAGGATGCAAAGTGGATAGTAAAAGCACAACATTATTTCGCTTAGGCGTATACGAAACAAGCATTTTGTTGTGATCAAAAGCAAAAAGGGACGTACCAACTGCTTTTCTTCCTAAGAAGCTTGTGGGTATCTCTCTTTTGTTTTTTCGCAGTGTTCCTAGGATTGATAATTTATACTGATGGAACATTTCCTCATATAGAGGTATAGAGGTGAACCAGTTGTCTATGGTTATATTACGGTGGGTTCCATGAATTGGTTCTGAGAGTTTCCGAACATAATAAGTAGGTACTGGCTCATTATTCTCTACATTAACTTTTCCCACATATGGAATTGCATTAACCATATAAAAAGTTTTAGAGTCGTTCATCATCATTATTTTCATACCATATTTATCGGGTTTACTAGACATGTATATTCTGAATTTTCCCAAAGCTGTCGGATATGTGTAAATTTATCTACTAATTTTCTTGCAGCCCTACCATCCTTATCATCGAATCGTAAACAGAGAGCTAGAAACTGAAATCTCTGTTGAGACATTGTAGCTCGAAATAATCCATTTCCGTACTTTATTGACCATAATTCATCTAAATTCGTATTTGATAGTCGAAGGGCCCCTGCTAAATAGAGAAGCCCAATAAAAGCTTTAATCTCTACAAGGTTAGTTGGCTTTTTATAACTTTGTGGCAAGTTTTTAAAACACTTACGCACAATTTCTTGATTTGTGTGTAATACAATTATATCTAACATTTCTTGGTTAAATAATAACTCCCATGCTTCTATTGGAGAGCGAACTAATCTCGCCTGTTGTTTAGGACCGGGCATATGTAAAACAATATTGTCTCTCGTTGTGCGGCCTCTGCGTTCTGGTATTTTGGTAGTCCAGCGATGACCGTTTTTGCCCATTATACTAGCAGTGTTCCTGCTCAATATACCAGGATTCTGTAACTCAACTTCATCACCATCATCACTCTGTTCATTGTCAGTATCAGACTGTTGTTCATCGACATAATCTTCGTCCCTGTCAGATAATTCACCAAACAAGTCTTCGTCACTATCTGCCTCATCTTCATTTTGCCACACATTGTCGACCTCATATTGTAACTCACGTTGCGTTAAATGGACGACGATTTTCCCAGTCAGAATTTGCCATAGGTATAAAATACAAAATAAATATTATGAACGTAAACCACACTCTGGGGTCTGCCGTACCCATTCACCGATGTTAGTCAATATTCGGACGGGATAGATAGCACAAATAACAGCCAACGTCTACGCACTGTCTCTCCTCACTACAGACTGAATTTACACCGAACTATCCAGCCGAACTATTTACGTTTCTTCGAAGCACTTACAAGAGAGGGGATACGTGGGTTTCTCAGACCCCAGTGTGCAGTTCCAGGGTTAAAGGTATATAAAAGGGAACCACGACATTATGACATTTATTATTACTTATTAATATGTGTAGCTATATAGCATTCTGTTCTCAACAATCACACGACAGCTATTAAACCTGTAATCTCACGACTCACGCCTTAGGCGAGAATAATATTGTGATCGCGTACTAATCACGAAGTTTCTTTATATTTCATGACCTCTACACCTGGGTTTCTAGCTCTTTGAGAAGAAGTAATTTCAGTCTAAATGAATCAATCATGTTTGGGGACTATGTTATGTAATGGCATAATAAGTAATAGTGCATTAATACAATATTTTAGAGCCGAGATTAGTGTCACATGAGTGTCATTGACGGTACTTCTAAGCATTTTGCATGGTATTCAAACAAACTAATTAATATCTATTATTTTAAAAATACTTTCATAGAGTATCTACTAAATACCTTCAAATCAAGTTAGCCTACGCCATCGCAAAAATAGATTTACTACTACTGAAAGCTTGGTGCCAAAAATTGAAATACCAGTGTTATTCCGCTTATTCTGAGATCAACGTTTTCGGCAATGCGTATGTAACGTGAGATCGTTGAGACACGTCAACGTAAATACATTTGAGTACGGTAGTAGTATTGTTTGACCAGTCCTGTACCGTACTTATGATTGCTAAGAAGCATGGAATAACGTTGTATTCTGTTCGTGGTCATGGTTACAGAGATGGAAAGCAAACAGGTGCAGTTCATCCTGTATCCATTTAAGAATTTTGCATAGCATGCCATTGCTGGTAGCCTTGATAATACCTCTTATTTTGGTTGATTAACAGGTCGAACTTTTAATGTTGGTGTTAGGTTTAGTGTTCTCACCTCTTCACAAAAATTTCAATTACTGACAATAAATAATGACTGCTTTTGTGCATAGCAAATAAAATCGCGTCCGATATGATATGAGTCTAGTAGATAAACCAGGTATGGAATTTTTAATCTTGATATTTGTGCCTCAGTTATCAAGACAAAAACGGTATGATCATGCTAACATATAACGGATTTATAATTAAGGGGTATAGTGAGTCCTCCACTGTAAAACTTGCCAGCCATTTCTTGTATTAGCTTGCTAAGCAAGGGAAAAGCTCTGTTTTCATTATTTATTCATTATCAACTGTCCAGTTTTGAAATTACCCTACCTGATACAAGAAAAGTTAGTTCTTATCTCAGTAAATCAAACAAATTACCAGTCTTAGTCTTCGAATTTTGGGATACAATACTCAAGGTGTTGCAACAAACACGACACTACTACATCCCTTCTGACGTATTTATTGCATCAATAATTTGCCCTGAATAAATGTCGAAACGTCTGCCACAGTATACTGATAGCCCTCAGATACAGAATACGATCTTTAATGTCGTCGATGAATAATATAAATAAAAAAGATACTACACCTCACAAAATGGTACATTTAAAAAATTGCACCTCTCTTCAGTACAAAAATATTCAGTTTTTAAAGCAAGCCACCTACTCAAATGCGTTATTGTACTCCCGACACTCTGAAGGTAAAATCTGACTTGGGCCTCAAGGTCGTACTGAAACCGTGTGGTATCAATAGTCAAATAATATTGTCAATACTGAGTTTACACGATTGCAAATAGCTTTTCACGTCAGGTTACTGTGACCATAATGATAATAATATACAGGGTTATCCAAATTAAGTGTCCACCATTAGTAACTTTGTTATTAGTGAAAATACAAAGTTGTTTGAATTAGCAAACTAGTAGCATTTTTAACGCTGGTAAAAATGAGAAATAAAGAAAAACAATTGAGAGTCGTTATTTTGATTTTTTTCAGTAAAATAACATTTTTTTAAATGGAAACCCCTGTATATTATATTTTTTTCTGTTAAAGCATCAAATTTTAAACAAAAAAGTTCATAATGACTTTTCCGCTAAAGTCAAAAATAAAGTCAAAATAACGATAAATATTTTTAATTATTTGCATTATTATAATATTAAGACGGCTATGAAAACAACATGGCGTTCGCGATTTGACAGCATTAAGGTAAGCGACAAATTGTTAAACTGGACATACTCGCAACTAGAAGAACCAAATTTACAAGCGAAGGTACGATAACCTTGACGCGTTAAAGACTGCAGTTAGGGAAAAGATAACCCAGATAGATGGTAGGACCATACTTAAGACAGTTCGAGCAGTTGAAAAACGTGCCCAAAAATGTATTGAAGAACAAGGTGGTGTTTTCGAGCATCTTCTTTAAAAAAAATTGTTATTGTATTTTGTAAGATTATAAGTTGATGTTGAAAATAAAGTTTGTCGATACAATTTAATTGTTTCAGATTGGAGGCCATAACTTCAACAATTTGTAACCTAGGAGAAAAGTTATTGTAAGCTTTTTTGTTCAAAATTTGATGCTTTAACAGAAAAAAATATAATATACAGGGGTTTCCATTTAAAAAAATGTTATTTTACTGAAAAAAATCAAAATAACGACTCTCAATTGTTTTTTTTTATTTCTCATTTTTACCAGCGTTAAAAATGCTACTAGTTTGCTAATTCAAACAACTTTGTATTTTCACTAATAACAAAGTTACTAATGGTGGACACTTAATTTGGATAACCCTGTATACGTATATTCAAATACATTTGACATTTGCCACTTTCTTTAATGTTATATTCAAGTCTAATTTTAAATTGAATACCCTTGAGGAATTTTCTTAATAAGAGATTTGATCCTTATCATCATATCTAGGAATAAAGCAATCCATGAATCACGTGACGAAACAATTGTGTAAACGCTCCGGGTTAATATAGCTGTAAGCTGTGAAAAGTGAAGTACCTACCGAGAAAGCTACAATCAAGAGCCAAAGATAAAGTGCTCGAAGCGAAACAGTGAAAAGTGTGAAATTTTGTGTTACGAGGTGTGGTCATTCTCAGCTAACTAATGTATATAAATGTATATAATTTTAGACATGGCATTTATGTTGGACGGCTATTATGAATTGCTTATTCTTGTTCAAGTATAATCTTGTTGTCAGAATAATATTAATATACTCGTATTGTATCATATTAAACAGCAATGCACTAGTATTTATACGTATTGAGCAGAAAGTCTTTGCTAGAAGTGTTCACTCTGAATCGAAAAAACATAGCAGATTTAAGATAATCTGAAACATATGCTACTCAGAATGTCCGGTCATGAAGAATCCCAATGGCAATTCTAAAATGGAAAATTTATACAGGGTGTTTCGTTGGGAGACGGCGCTATTTTAACTGGAGATATAAGTAATCTATGATGAATGAGTCTTTAGCCTTTTGACTGTATGACAACTCGTTATATTTTGAAACTTGGTACTCGTACTCAGCTTATCCACTACATCTTATATGTATTATTTTATGACCAGAAAAGAAGATGCGTAAAAATGCTTAAAAAAAATTGGCCTCCACGTTTAATTACATTAGCCAGCTGAGAAATAAAAGTATCAATATTGATGGCATCTTACCTGGTCCATAACCATTTCTCTTCATATTCTCCTCCTCTTCTAGCATTCGTAGAACTGCCGAATTCTTTAAATTCGATGGTTTGCCCACGTCGGGGTTTCGAAAGTCGATTCTGCAATATAAATTATTCACACATTAATAACTCCAATGTGACCTTCTCAATCCTTTAAGTTGTTATGGTTAAGGGCACCTGATTGGCCATAACGGTGTTGATTGTTTGGAGTAATAAAAGAGTTTCCAAAAATATTTCTAAAACAGGAACAGAAAAAAATGTTCATGTATCTTGAATTTTACGTAAAAAAGTTACAAATGTAGGCCACTAAATTATAACAACTTTGCCTCCTATCTTTGCCTTTGCCATAAACCTTGTAATGCTTTTCTTTACTCCGGTAGGTTTTATTCCAAGATTTAGATAACAGATGATATAGGGGGAGTTTGGAGAGAGACGGAAATATGGGTTCTTCTATTGCTTAAATAGTGAGTAGAGGTTTATTGGACGAACTACTAAGGATATGACACTGTCGCCGCATAATGTAGAAGCAGAGAGAACCATTCCATATACCTGGGTAATTAGGTACTAATTAGCGAAACAGACAACCTTATGTAAAATTAACTTAATTTCAATAATCATCCATGTGACGAAATATAAAAAAGTGGCTTCCATTAATCTAATCTTCATTCTCTTTTCTTCTCACGGCTACCGGCGGCGAAGTGTTGTAATCGCAAAAAATTTCGAAAACGAGATATGTATTATAATTTTTTTATTTGTTTCAGGTTGAAGTGAAGACGGCACAATAGGTGGGTGTTTTTGTGGTTGCTGGAGTTACTTTTTTGATAAAAATGTAAAAATATCGATCAATCAGAAATCGGTATCCAAATTTCAAACTGTTAACTTTTTCAGTTTACTATAATTTTATCTCGAGGGGCAATTTTTAATATACTTGTAATGTCACGTATTCCTGTTAAGGGGTGATAGATTAGGTCAAAAGCAACAGATTTTGTCCTATAATGTCCTGTCCAGTTAAGATAACCATTTTTGAGTTATTTGAATTTTATTATTTTTTATTTTTTATTCCGATTTCAGACGGTTAAATTTGAAATACAAAAAAACTACATGTTTGATTTTAAGTTTTTTGTTATCGCCGCTTAGCGGACATTCCAGTAGTTCATAATAAGTAATAAAATGTTGAAAACTTACAAAATTTTTAAAATTACGCTTTTGAAATGTATGATTTTCTTATTTTTTTACTAACTTATTCGATAAAAAATGCAATTTTTTGTAAAAAATCTCCTAGTAATGAAATGTGCAAATTATGTAAGTAATATCTCTATCTAACAAGCTTTCATTTGAGGTATTAAGCGTTCAATTATCTGAAGTACATGCAGAGAAACAACAATGACACCCACAGAGGCTGGATTTTTAAGGAATTTGTATTACCTGTTTGAACAAGTCGTTACTGTCCTCAAAGGACTCGCATGCCATGATTCTTTTATGGCATCGGCTCGACGAGGAAGCGAGCGAGAAGAGATGACTTAGTGGAGGAGTGAGAGAGAGAGAGCTATTATTATTCATCATTGTAGTTACGCCATCGCCGCACGCCGAGTGAGAATTAGGTTTAGTTGGTATCAACTACTACGTACGCGCACACGTTTTACGCACGATTATTATTTTTGAGTTTCCCAGTTCATTTCGAGTGGCTTCTTTATCATCATGGCAGACGCAGAAGATCCGCCAGGACCTCGCCATAGCGAGCACGGGCAAACTTTTACAAATGAAGAATACGCAGACATAATGTTCTGTTATGGACTTTGTAACGGCGAATCTGCAGCTGCCCGCCGTGAATATCGGCAACGTTTCCCGAATCGCCGAACACCTCAGGTTAGTGTGTTTGACTCTGTGTATCGGCGCATCCGCCAAACCGGACGTGTTCAAAGGCAACATAGTGATGCTGGTCGACCCCGAGTCTATCCTCCTGAAGTTGAAGAGGAAATCCTTCGTGTGTTTCAGGAAGACCCTACTACATCTACGCGCATTGTGGCTGCTCAGTTGGGTATATCACAATACAAAGTATGGTTTACTGTGCTTACTGCAAGATTGTACCCTTATCACTACACGCCTGTGCATGTGATTGAAGAGGGCGATCCTGCCAGACGAATAGATTTCTGCAGGTACATGTTACATGCAGATACAGAAAATCCAGACTATTTTAAGAAAATTCTGTGGACCGATGAATCGAAGTTTGATAAGGACGGGATCACTAACTACCATAATGCTCATTACTGGGCTGATAAGGAAGCTTTAAACGCATCATTGATGGATATTTAATTGGACCTAATTTTCTGTCCGCCAATTTAAATGGAGAAGTGTATGAAGTGTTCTTGAAAAATCACTTGTTTCCATTAATGGAAGACGTCCCATTGGCGACGAGACAAAATATGCAGTTCCAGCACGACGGCTGTCCCGCACACTACAGTAGATTAGTACGGGCGTATTTAGACTCTAAATTTCCAAATCAATGGATTGGCAGAGGCGGGCCCATTTCCTGGCCAGCAAGAAGCCCAGATCTCACACCGATGGATTACTATGTGTGGGGACATATGAAAAGCCTGGTGTATGATATTTCGCCCGTACCAACGCGCGATGAATTAATTACAAGGTTAATCAGTGCAGCTGACCAAATAAAAAGTCGCTTAACAACTAGAGTTACCAAAGGTGAATTACGTAAGAGAATGCGGGCGTGTATTCGTAACAGGGGATTACATTTTGAGCAGAATCTGTAAAATACTAAAAAAAATGTAAATAAATAAAACTGTGATTAAAATAAAAGCCTTTTATTTATCCTACGTAATTATCGTTCGTACAACTTTACTCATATTTTTTTAATTTTATGTCTTTGTACTTGAGTTAGTTGTAACTTTTATACCTCAAATAAAAGCTTGTTAGATATAGATATTATTTACATAATTTGCACATTTCATTACGAGGAGATTTTTTACAGAAAATTGCATTTCTTATCGAATAAGTTAGTAAAAAATAAGATATTCATATATTTCAAAAGCGTAATTTTAAAACTTTTGTAAGTTTTCAACATTTTATGACTTATTATGAACTATTGGAATGTCCGCTATGCGACGATAACAAAAAACTCAAAATCAAAGATGTAGTTTTTTTGTATTTCAAATTTAACCGTCTGAAATCGGAATAAAAAATAAAAAAAATAATATTCAAATAACCCAAAAACGGTTAACTTCTGGATATGACATTAAGGGACAAAATCGGTTGCTTTTGACCTAATCTATCACCCTTTAACAGGAATACGTGATATTACAAGTATAAAGAACCTGGTGGAGATCTGATATGACATGGATATCCAAAAACTCCAAAATAGATTTAGCGTTTAAGCTTCGATGATGTATCAATTCTTGGAACCTAATGATTTCAGCAGTTTTAAGAAAAAGTAGGAGACAGTGCTTTTGAAATTATCCTCGTACTTCGTAATCGGCTAGGTTGATGTTCACGCAGACGCCCAGGAAAGATTGGGAGCTGGAAGGAGGCGTGGCTAAATTCCAACCAATGACGGCACAGAACAACGATAGCAGTACCGGCATACTACCATACCCTGCCAGTGCTGCCAACTAATGCGCTCTTTAGGTGTTGGTTGGCGCGACTGAAAGTTGCAACTCTTGTCCTTCGTGCAATGCTCTGCTTCTGTTAAAATAGTTGTTATTGTGATGTACAGCAAAGCCTTTGTCGGCGATTCCTTACAACGAAAGAATATCTACGTTGACAACAGATTCACATATATAGCACAACCATCGAAATGTAATAGCGCGCGAAACCGGAATAGTTAAGTAGACAGACGCGACTGTTATCAATTGTATTGTTTCATAATAGGCGAGTGGAGCATCTCTTTGTATTTTCACGGTGGATATTGTGACTTCTATCGAGCTTTTTAAGGTAACTGAATGCCTTCACAGCAAGCTAAGTGAGTCATGCATACTCATCTACTTCTGTGTTAGCTTTGAGCTCATCATGTTGTCCAAGATAAATTATAGGCCTCTATATGTTTATACACCCTCGGACTATAACTGGGATGACCTACTTGAATACCTCGCTGTCAACAACGATTTCTTGAACATCAATCACCAAGCCTCAAAAATAATTATTCTTGGTGACCTCAATGCTTAGTCAAGGACTGACCCAGCTGGTGATAAGCCCTACTTTTCTCGTTCGCGATTCATCACATGCCAGTAGTCTGCTGGATCTCTGGAACATACACCCTGTTGCTTATAGCACAGCTTTCCTTGGATAAGTCAGGCCACGGTGTTGTGGAGGTCTGGTTTGAATCGGAACCATTTGTGGCAACAGAAACTCGTTGAGGTCGCAAAATTTGGCATTACTGGCATGCTGACTGGGAAGGGTGCAGAGACTTTTTCTCCAGCATCCTTAGAAATATGTTTCTTTCGCTTACTTAGCTGTATGTTCGTCAATAACTAAAGTTACCCACGTTGGGATGGAGGAATACATCCCTCAAACAGTGAAATTTCAAAGTATGGCTCTGGTTCAATAAATCGTGCGATACTGGTCATTGATTGAATAAAGGCACATCGAACTTTTTTGGGAAGCCCCACTAAAGTTTAAATGAGGCTCTGAGTAATATAATAATTTATAATCGAAGATTGGACATTGACATTTTTTAGGGTTTTCAGATATTTAATCGCTTATAACTCGAAAACGACACTTTTAGAGAGAAGTCACTAAATACCTTTTTCATTCACAATGTTCCAAAAAATCTAAAAACACTTTGTCCGGGGCGGAAAAACCGATTCTTTGTAGTTTGTTTGAAATTGTTTAAACTTTGCACCGAGTTACCTCACGACAACCTCTTGATTCATTCAAAAATTAAGTTGGAAAATTTCTCTCACGATTTTTTTTCACCTCGCCTCATACCCTATTATCTCGTAAAAAAAGTCGTTTACAATTTTTAGTAAGAAACAAATACCTTCATACAATGGATATTTTTAAGACGGTGAATTTTAAACATTTGCATTCTCAGACACTCTTGGTCAGTCTCTCACTACGCGCTTAGTAATCCGGTGTTTAAACGCAAA